AGGAGTGCAGGCCTGCATCCAGGCTGGCATTTATGTGAGTACCACTTGTCCCCAAGGCAGAACAGTAATGGAACTGGCTTTTCTTTTTCTGGGGTGCCACAGTGAATGACAATTACCTCACTCCCATAGTGCTTAATTAAAGTGGGCTTGATGTGGGCAGAGAAGGTACTTGTCAGACAACAAACTGAGAGAGATGAATAAAGAGTTAACATCTTTGCAGGCAGCACAGGGATAAATGTCTGGTTTGTTGCTCAGGTGCTTAACCACTTACAAAAGACACTGCAGTAAGACCCCAAACCCCAAGTATGGCTACACAGCAGTGTCAGGGAGCTGGTACAAGTAGGACAGCATCTGCTGTTAAGAAGAAGATATGTCCAAATAAAGGCAATAAGACAATTCCAGCAGGTCAAGCAGTTAAGGGGGGAATTTTGCTGTTCTGAACTGCCTAATGGGAGAGTGTGGCAAAGGTAGTGCAGAGGAGTTTCACAGTGAAAGGACAGGAGACAAGCTGCAAAAAGAGAAAATCCAGTGGAACATCAGGCTTTTAGTTTTGAATCCCTCCCATTGAATTCCAGAAGTACTTTTCACACTCCTAAATGCCAGTAGTTTTTCAGAATGAGATTTAGATACCAAAATCCTTCTGAGGTTTTTAAAAGATTGCTGTTTAAGATGTGCTGTGTGTTTCATGTTTATGGGCTCCTGACAGCATCCTGCCTTCCCCCTGCTTCTCTGCCATGCCCCAGGCAGTCCATTACAGCCACAAAGTGGGGGGTTATTTATTCAGGGTGTTCTGCAAAATATAACACACTTGTTTGTTCTCCAGGCCACTCGTTCTGGTGGGACCTTGGTGCTGGTGGGACTGGGGCCTGAGATGGTCACTGTGCCCATTGTGAACGCCGCTGTGCGGGAGGTGGATATCCGGGGGATATTCCGCTATTGTAACACGTGAGTCTCATGCAGGGTGGGCTCATGTGTCTCCACGTCTGTCCTTAAGAAATTCTTGCTTTACACAAGCAGGGAGGATGTGGAAAAGGCTGGTTTTCCTTACACGTGGTTGAACCTCATGTCACTCTGAAAGGTCAGTGCAGCAATGCAGTGTGACCGATGTGTCCTGCATTTTATGCCTTGGTTCCTGGATGAGCTCTTCACTGCAAACTTTTCCACAGAAAAGCAGCCCAGCTGGGTTGTCCTACTGGCCCATTTCATGTAGCATTTGATGCAAAGGAAGGAAGAGACCAGGCTGGACGGGCCCTTGAGCAACCTGGCCTAGTGAAATTTCCCTGCCTGGCAGGGATATTGGTACTAGCTGATCCTTAAGGTCCCTTCCAACCCAGATCTTTCTTTCATTATTTATTGGATTTGTGCCTTTAACTCTTACATCCTGTAGAAAGGGAAGTTCGGGTGCTGAGGGTGTTTTGGAAGGGACCAGCTTATCCATGAGAGCGCTGGCTTGCGGCATGGCAGGGAAGAAGCCACAGAGTTTAGGTGGTTCAACACTTTGTACTGGGAGATCTCTTCAGCAGCAGCCTGGCCTGGCCTGGACCCACCTGGAGCTGCCTCCTGGCATCCACCTTCCTAAATGTTATATTGTGCATTTTGAGGCAGAGAGTGTGGGGAATCTTTTTTCTGGGCAGGGTCAAAATCCCAAGTGCTGCATCCTATGCCAGGTGATGCCCAGCTCTGCTCTCCTCACTGATTATGGGAGGAAATCACATCATCAGTCTTACTGGAGATCAGTGAATATCGGGATGAGCAAGAGCCTTGTTTGGGTTTCATCATTTTGCTGGAGCTGAAGATACATCTGCAGCCAGTCTGAAGGTGTCTGTGCTCTCTACAGAAAACTGAACTGCAGAGCTCGTGCACAGACATGAGGTCTTTGAGTATACCCTAAGGGCAGAAGTTCAGCTATCCTCTCTTATTGTATTTCTTGGGCAGGGCTTAAGATCCAGCACTACATGTTTGCAGCCTGGTTTCTGCTCTGTTCAGAGCTGTCATTTCTTGTGGAGCAAGAATCTTTGCTTAGTCTGTAGAGGTTGTTCTCCAGGAAAGGTTTATGGGATGTAGTCCACCTCCTCCTTAAAATGAGAAATGTCTTTAAGTGTAGGGAGTTTAGAAATCAAGTGAGCTGCTGCATCCCTTTGTATCTCCACCACTCTCATTTGGCCCATTCTCATGGAGCAGCAAGGCAATCAAATTGAGTGCATCTCTGCCAGAGAAGAGGTTGGAAGCTGACTGAGGCTTTTCTTCTCCCTGTACCAAGTCACTGAGTTTGAACTCCACAGTGATCAGTCTGCAAGCAGCAAGGCCAAGTGAGGGGAGTTGGCTTGTCCCGTCTCCCATGCCTGGTGCTTGAGGTTCCCCCTCTGGAAGATTGTTTCAGGAAAAGCTCCCCTTGGTTTCTGAGCTAAGGAAATGACTAATGAAACCAAGCTCCTCCATGCCTTTTATGTGGGGCTTCAAAGTGGTAACTGTTCTCATTCTCTGCTCTCCATCTTCCTTGCAGGTGGCCTGTGGCAATTGCGCTGCTCGCATCCAAGCGGATCAATGTCAAGCCCTTAGTTACGCACCGCTTCCCCCTGGAAAAGGCTCTTGAGGCATTTGAGACCACCAAGAGGGGGGAAGGGGTCAAAGTCATGCTGAAGTGTGACCCCAGTGACCACAACCCCTGAGATGCTGCTGTGCCTGGCCCTTTCCCTGTATCACCGCCTGCCTGAGATGCGCTGATGAGGCCATGGAAGGCTGATGTATGGCTGTTGCATGGTTACACAGTCACCTTACGCAGGTGCTTCTTTGTAATAGAGCTACAAAATCAAATGATAATGAGGGTGAATGGCACTGAGGGCTTCACTGTTAGAGTATTAACAGGTAACTACACATAGAGAACCAGTAGGGAATAGTCTGAATCAAAACACTGCTGTTTGGTTAGAGATGATGGTTCACATGGTTGGCTCTTCAGCAGCCCCCCCACACAGAAGAGCCTGGATATCTCTGCATGGCCACAAGGTTTGTCCGTGCATGCACAATGGGGGAGAATGTCACCAGCCACATGGGTGAAGTAAGGACAGAGGTGCTGGTTCTTCACCTTCCTACCCTAGCACTGCCCTAGGGCTGTCCTTGCCACAGCTCTTCCTGCTTGGCAATCACAGGGTGCATGAATACTCCACCTTCCATTACACCTTTCCTGGGGGATGCTCAGGGGCTGTAACAGCCTGTGGAACAAAGGCTGGCCAGCCCCCCCTCTATGGGAAGCATCTGTGCATTCAGGTCAATCTCTCCATGCTCTTTGCAAATAGCAAACTGCAGGCCCAAAGCTCAGAGCCTGGGGCTGTTTTGAAGAAGCCAGCCTGGAGGCCAGCTGTGACCATACCTGCAATGTCATCCCCCCAGCAGAGCTCCCTGTGGGGCAGAAGGACCACCTCAGGGTAGGGAAACTGCCCTGTCTGTAGCTGGGACCGCAGAGCAGCCTGTGCTTACATGGGTCCCAAGGGGCACAGCTGGCTTTTAGTGTGGAGGGGAGCACAAGTGAGAAGTAAGGGGGCAACATCACTCAAAGGTTTTACCACTGTGAATGCATGGTGATGGTAACTTCTCGGGGATATCTGGCCTTCCTGCTGAGTTTGTGAGCCATGCACGAGGTACTGCCGAGGTAGCAGGTTGCAGATAACAGAAATCTAATCTTTGATTACATTGCATTAATTTTAGTACTGAGAGATCAGTCCCTTCATTGGGCCGGTACTGAACTTTCCTCAATAAATGTGTCTTGTGTTCATTAGAGCCTCGGGTCGGAGGTTTGAAGGGGTCTGTGATTTTGAACCCTGGGGATTGTGCAGACTCCTGGGCTGTTGCTCTGCTGGGTCTCACAGGGCTGCAGGTGAGTTCAGTGCTGGCAGGACCAAGAAACCTTCAACAACCACTTATAAATCAAAGCTCATACTTCTTGTGGCTAAGTTAATCTTGGCAGAAGTAAAAGCCTGCAAATCCACGCTGTATTTTAAGGGGCTAAGCCATAGCTCAGGGAAACTGCCCATAGCCAGAAGGGGAAGTGGTCAGAGTAAGCTGGTTTATTAATGTGACAGCCTGAGTGGGTAAAACCTACCCGTGAGCCTGGCCCTGCAGTCAGGTGTGGGAGCAGAACCCATTCAAGAGCTGCTGAAATGCACCTTGCTGCAGGGTGGCTGTAGAAGGGAAGCTGCCCAGTGCGTAGCAGTGGGAGTGAGCCTGTGCCTCTTGGGCAGTCCCACTGACATGGCTGGGGGAGCACTGCCCACCGCAAGACCCTGTTATTGCTGGGAGATTGAGACCTCTTCCCTGTGGTCTTTGGGAACTGTTTAATATCCCAAGGGCTGGAGCCTTGACTATAATTTGCTCCCATGCCAGGCCTTGGGAGCATTGCTGGGAGTGATGGGTCTGGTAGGACACAGCTTGTGGAGTTGTGCCTGTATCCCCACTCCACACCATGTGCATCACCAGTGCAGGGGAAACTTGCTCGTGTTCATTTTCCAGTAGGCTGCATAAATACTCCGTAACGGGAGCAAGGCCAGTGCTACAGCTCAGGCACTGCAGGTCTCCATGTGACCGAGACCCAACCAGAGGAAACAAGAAAGTGCTTTAAAAATTCAATCAGCTTTATTTAAGCTCAAATAGAGCCTGCAAGAGCAGCAGCCCAGCAATGCAAAGCCAGGCATTAGTTGAACAAGCACAAAGATCCCTGATTGATAGAAGGAAAGTGACACTGCTGAAAGAAGCTGACATGAACACTAGCAAGGTCCTTTGCAAGTCCAGGGAAGGCTCAGGGCGCTAATGGGCACAAGCGAGTGCAGTAGGAAAGCTGAGCCTGTTTCAAGGAGAGGGGTGGTGGGGAGGTCACTGGGTCCTCATAACATGTGCAAACAACCCGGGTCTTGGGGAAAAGTGCTGTGAATTCAGGTTGTGCTGGCACCAAGCTGTTCAGAGACATTTCCCAAGCCACCCAGCAGAGCACAAGCTCTAACTTCATAGAATCCCAGCCTGGTTTGGGTTGGAAGGAGCCTTAAGCTCATCCAGCTCCAACCCCTGCCATGGGCACGGATCCCTTCCACTGGAGCAGCTTGCTCCAAGCCCCTGTGTCCAACCTGGCCTTGAGCACTGTCAGGGATGGGGCAGCCACAGCTTCTCTGGGCACCCTGTGCCAGCGCCTCAGCACCCTCACAGGGAAGAGCTTCTGCCTAATGTCTAATCTAAGTCTATCCTCTTGTGGGATCAAGGTGGCAGAGCTGAAACTTGAAAACTGGATTTTCTGGATTGGGTCATGCCAGCCTGACCCTGGGCATGGGGCTGCAGGTGTATGTAGGTAGTAGCAGGATGCCCTGGGCTAAGGGGTTCACACTAGGACTGTGTGGGGCGATGCTGTGATGGCAATGTTTCACTGCTGCACCATGTGCTGGTCTGAGCTCTGTGGGTCTCAGCACCCATGCTCTTAGCCATGAATGGCTTTCTCATGGGGATGGTGTTGTGAGACCAGGACCATGACCACCTGAAGCATTGCCACACAGGCACTGATGTTGAACAATGAAGGCTGCAGCCCAGGGGTGAAACAGCATTGGGTAGAGTCAGAAATTCTCATAGTGATGTGCAAAGTAGGTCTGGTCCTTCTTGTTCAGCTGCCGACAAGCCTTTTCCACACTCTTGGTCATCCCGGGTGGGCCACAGCTGAAAACCCCGATCTTCTGCACCTGCAAAAGGAGGGAGCCAAAGGGGTCAAACCAACAGCACCAGCTCTCCCCTAGCTGAGCCCCTCTTGGCCCCTTGTTTGGCAGCTTTGGGCACAGATGCTGGCCAAGCAGCATGCCCCAGCCTGTGGAGGTTTTTGGGAGGTTGTCACCTCCCCATGGAGCCACTGGAGCTGTGGAGGAATGACAGGATCCCCCAGGGTCTCTGTCAGCTCTGGGCAGTGGTTGCGGCCAGGGTCTTGCCATAGCAGGGTGTGTTTGGCTGGTATGGGGCACTTCTGACTCACGGAGCTCGTCTTGGCTCCAGAAGGAAAGTGGGGATCGTGCCCCTTCTGCCCTGCCCTTGGTGCAGAGGCCACCAAGGTCTCCAGGGTCTCAGAGGCAGGCTGGGACCGCTCCTCCACAATGGCTGGTGGGTGCCCTCCTCCTGTCCCCACCCGGGCACTGACCTCACGGTGCACCTCCTGCAGCGAGCTGAAGAAGGGTACAAAGGGAGGGCGTCCAAAGTGGGTGGTGGCATGAAGCCCTGTGAACAGGCTCTTGTTGAGCACCTTCTGGAAGTGCCGCTCGCAGATATACTGGAAAAAAGATGAGAGCACTTCAGAGGGCCCAGCATGGCCCGGCATGGCCCGCAGCCTCCCCGGCAGGTGGCCAGGCTCACCAGCATGGTGGTGCGCAGGTCGAACTTCTCAGCCAGCTGCGTGATGTAGATGTGCACGGAGACCAGGCTGTTCCTGTCCGCCTCCTCCACCTCGCGGATGATGTCCGCCAGCCACTCGAACTGCCGCTGCGTGCGCGTCACCCAGATGAAGTAGATCTGTGGCACGTGGGGATGAGGTTCAGAGTGAGGGCAGTACCCTGTGTATGCCCACATGGGGCTCCTTCCCAGATGGATCATGGAGGATCCCCCAGAGACCAGCAGCAGGAGGAGGCATCTTGGGAAGGCTTATTGTGCTTCAGATGCTTCCTTTTACCTTCTTGCACTGCAGCTTGGAGCTTATGGATGACTTGAAGACCAGGTCCTTGAGGATGGATGCAAAAGGTGTCACCCCGATGCCTCCTCCCACCAGCACCGACACTTTGAACTTGTTCCACTCCTGGTGGCCCTCCCCGAAGGGCCCGTCCAGATAGAGCTGGAAGGGAACCAGCCATCAGTAGGGTATCTCCTGCTTCCACTTGCCCAGGCCTTGGCTGGAGAAGCACCACCGGCTGGGCACAGCCCACTGCCACAGATGCTCCGGGGCTCAGATGTCGCTGGAGAAGAAGCGTGGGGCTCACCTTGGGCAGCTTGCCAATAAGGGCCAGGCTCTCTGGGGAGTAGAGCTCCCGCAGGCGGGTGGTCCAGGGCCCCACAGCCCGGATGTGCAGGCTCAGTGTGTCCTCGTGTGGCGCCGAGGTCAGGGTGAAGGGGTGGTACTCGGAGGTGCCCAGGGCCACACAGGCGATGCGCACCCACTGCCCCGACTTGTAGTCAAAGTCCTGCGGCCGCTGGAACTGGAGGTGGGTGACACCTGTCAGGCAGAGAGGGGCCAGGAGTGAGGACTTCTTTACGGTGAAGATCTCAAAGCAACATTCCAGTAGATACAGGGGGCTACGAGGATGCTGGAGAGGGACTCTTCATCAAGGACTGTAGCGACAGGACAAGGAGTGATGGCTTCAAACTGAAGCCCGTGGCAGAGGCCTGGAACTTGATGAACTTTAAATCTGTTCCAACCAAACCATTCTGTGATTCTATGACTGAGTAGTGGAATTTCGTGCATAGCTGCAGCCCCCAATGCTTGTGCAATGAGCCTGGGCTGAGGTGGTGCCATGTGGCCAGGGATGTTTTGGTACCTGAGGGCAGGAGCTCCGCTTTCACTACGCTGATCTCCACCTTCTTCCTGCTCAGGCTGAGCAGCTTGTCTGCACTATAGATGAGAGCTGGGATGATGAAGTAGATGTGGAAGCGGGGCTGCTGGATCAGTGCGTAGCTGCCATGAATGATGACCTGGGCAGGGAGCAGCCCCCATCAGCACTGTACTTACCATGGTAAGCTATTGCCCAGGGGTTGATTTGGTGGCAGTTCAAGAGTAGCAGGGAGCTGGGATTTGGGCCACCAGCTCTCTTGGTACCCCCCAGCTATTAGAGCTCATCAGCTGGGCTGACCCACAGGCTTGTGGTGCATCGCCACCATCCCTGCCTCCAAGCCAAAATGCATTACCAGGATGTAGAGCAGCATGTAGAGGTGGTGGGTGATCCAGAAGCCTTGGAAGCTGACGCGTCGGAAGTGGCGGCTAGCGAACACATACATCACAGCCAGGATCACAAGCAGCAGCACTCCTGTCATGCCTGTGAGTGGATGGGTTGGAACGTCCTGGGGGATCAGGGTAACCCCACAGGGGATCCTCCAGGGCTCATAGAGGGGTCAACGTGGGCATGCAGTTCTGCCTGCAGTGGTCTCACCTGGAATAGTCTGGAAGAACCACCAGTAATACTTCTGTGGGAGCTGAGACCTGGAGAGGAATTGCATCATGGAGTGGCCAGAGCAAACTCCTGGTTCCCACTTTCATTTGTGTCCATGCCCAGGACATGCCCAGGACATACACTCTGCCTGGACTGCACTTTAATTTTCACCTACCCATCATCCATAAAGACATTGGAAAAGAGGCAGGACAACACGCTGAGAGGTGTGACTGAGAAGATGTAGACATTCACTATGTGACCTGCAGTGTGGAGCACTGTGAGAGACAGAAACCAGAAGAGAAAAGCATCACTGTTGCTGTGGATGAAAGTGCGGCAGACCCTGCGGATGTGACCAGGGACCTGGCAACTCCTCTGGTGCAAAGCATCTGTGTCTCTGCAGGCTTCATACGGCTCTTCAAGCTTCTGCCTGGTCCTGCTGTGTCACGATCCTCCTGCTCCAGATGTGGCTCCTGGGTGGCACATTCTCCAGCAGCCCACCTACCTGAGAAGATGAGGGCTACCATGGCAACCCAGCGGTGAAAGTCCACAGCGGCATCGAAGGGGATGTAGTGGTTGAGGAAGGTCTCCCGCAGGACTGTGATGAGGTTGCGGCACATGGTGAGCAGGATGTAGGAGTACATGAAGGAGATGCAGGCAGCCGATCCCCGGGAGATGATGATCCCCACAAAGGTGGTCTGTGCGATTCCCGTGCTGGGGGATGCAAAGGCATAGTCTGGGGAGAGAGATTGAAGGATGTGTCAGTGTGCCTGCAGCTGAGGGCCATAACTCTTCCTGCAGCAAGGGGACTTGGCTCCACCAAGAAAAGGTCACCGGGGATGGGGCTGTGTGGGGACAGGGGCATGATTCTCCATGTCAGAACCCCCAGAGCTGCTGGGTGACAAAGTCTTCCTTGGAGGTCAAAGGAGAGGACTGTCCTCCTCTGCTGTGCCCCTTGGTACTGTGTCTTCAGTGAGGCATCAACAAACTGGAACGAGTCCAGTGGAGCCCACTAGGGTGTGTGGAAGCTGGAGAACATCATGTAAATGAAAAACTAGGGGAAATGGGCTTCTTCAAGCTGAAGGAGATGGGTCAGGGGAGTCTGTCAGGCTCGTTCAGGCTGCCTACAACCACAGTGTTACAGAGAAGAGGGCACCAAATGCTTTCTGAGACACACAGTGATAGGGTGAGAGGTGACAGCCTGAGTTTCACTGAATGAAATTCAGGTTTGATGTAAAATAAACTCTCCACATGCAGGATGGTCAAAACCTAGCACAGGCCCAGCCAGGTGGCGGGATCACCAACCTCGGAGCCCTTCAAACCTTCTCTAGATAAAGTCTTCAGCAGCCTCATTCCGCTTTGAAATTGGCTTTGCCCTGAGGAGGACACTGGGCCAGACCCCTCCAGAGGTGCCTCCCAACCTAAGTAAATCTTTGGTTATTCCAGGGGTGGAACAACACTGTTTGCCCAAAGCTGTGCCGGGACCTTTCAGATCCCAGCATGCCTCATGCAGCCAGCAGCTTTGAGGAGCCAAGCCCATGCACCCCTCTGCATGTGGTGCAGCAGGGATGGGTGTGCACTCACAGTAGGCTCTCTCCACGAACACGCCGGTGGTGATGGCAGAGAAGAGGACCACACAGACGATGTGGCGCCGGTAATTCTCAACAAAGCACTTGAACTCCTGGATCTTCTGCTGAACTTTGTTCCTCTCATACTTCTTCCGTTTCGCTTCAGTGTACAAATGCAGCTGGTACTGATTCACCCTGGCAAGTACAGGAGGGTTGCTGTCATGTCAAGGTTTAGCCAGTAAGGTATGGCTCAGGGCCATGCTGCCCAGCTTTGGGTCTTCCTCCCCGTACAGCTCTGTGACCACCTCTGCACACTGGAGATGGTGGTGACCTGCAGAGCGCAGTTTCAGTATTTGATATCAGGTCATCCCACAGTCTACACAAATGTGCAGATAATGACTCATAAACGAAACCAGAGATAAGAACTGTAAAAGATAATTCTCATAGTAATATTCAACCCTACAAACTGATTCTAGGGTGGAAGAAGATCCTTGGAGCTATTAGGCAAATCAGGATATTCTGGCCATGAACAGCAACCACTAATCTGCTTTCTTGTAGAAATATCTGCTGCTGCCACAGCAGTGAGGATCAGTCTCTCCTCCAGCTCTTGCAGGCACGCTATGGGTGAGCCAGCAGTGTTCCAAGGGGAAGAGAAGCTCAGGCAGGACTTCAGACAAAGCCCCTCTCTGCAGGCAAGGCATACACTCTAAAACCCAACATCACAGGCTCTGGAGTTGGCCACTTCATTCTTTTTAATAGAGGCACATCACCCGGACCCAGCTACAGCCCTGTCACCACCAAAGCAGGGCTGCTCCTGCACCTTCTTGGTCAGTGAGGGGCTGTGATGGGCCTGCCTGGGCTGCGGTATCTCCTGAAGAGTTGGTCCAGCATCCCCTCCCTATGCAGTACCACAATCATGGGGGTGCTGGGTCCTTGCAGCGGTGCCGTTTGACTGGAGGGCTATGTAGTCTGGCACACCAACATGAGAAACAGCAAGAAGGCTGAACCTGAACCTGAAAAGCACACTCAGTGAAGAGAGGGTGCACTCACTTTCTGCCTGGTCTCTTCCTCAGTTCTTGCCCTTCTTGTTCCATGTAGTGGTTCGCAATGTCCAGGTTTGGGTCATTCTCTTCCTCTGAGATGGTTCTGTTGGAAATAGAGCTTTGTCTAGCCTAAAGCTGTACAAACGTTTCCCCATTTTCTCCACTTTCAGGCTCAGAAGGTGCCAAGCTCTTTCCTGCAACCCTGTTTGCACTACTTCAATTGCATGGTACATGGGCTGGATTCGCTTCCAGATAAAACCCCCTTATGAAAAACAAAGTAGGACTCCCATCCCAAATGCAATAGGGGCTGTGCAAGAGGCAGTTCCTCCCCTCTGACTGCCTGAGTGCCAGGGGAGGAAGGGAACAGCCCCACTGCAGCATCTCGCTTGCTTGCAGGCATGTTGAGCATGGTCATCATGCTTCCCCAGCGCTGGGTTGCAAACACCTGGTGGGAGCATTTGTTGGAGGGGTCGAGGTGATGGATGGGTGTGCATCAGGGCAGATAAAGATGCAGCAGCCAGAATAAGGAGGAGAGCTTACCTTTTTGGCTCTTTCTTTCTTATGAAGGAGGCGTGGTTATGCAGATTTTGCTTGAGCACCTCCGGGACACCTTTGATGATCCAGAAAGACAAACAGCGGTTCAGCATGTGCGAGATGCAGTGGACAAGGTTTAGGCATCTCCCTTTGGCAGGGACATGGGGAGAGGCTCTGAGCTGCCCCAAACATGTACATGGAGCAACAGCTGATGCCCTGTTATTGCAGTGGGGTTGGAGAGACCAATGGGAGCTACCTACTGGGTACTGCCCATCACCTCCAGCCCTGCAGGGCCTGGGGTGTTCCAGGTCTCCTGCCCACCAACCTTTGATGCAGAGCTGGGTGAGACGAAGTTCGCTGTCATGGTCCCGCAGCATGTAGTGGAAATCCTCCCATGTCAGTTCATCCCTGTCCTGAAACCCTGAGGCCCGAAACATGGACTCAGTCACCTGCTCTGCCTGATCTCTTGACAGGCAGTTGTTGGAGATCTCAATGAAGGACCTGAAGCAAGGAGGGGAGATGCGAACTTCAGAGGACCAAAGCTTGAGTCCTTCACAGAGCCCCCGACCAGTTTCATGGGATAAATGGGCTCTTGGTGTGAGTGTTGAGCCCATGGGCTCACACTCGTATAGCACCCTTGGGGAGTGAAGCACAGAAACTGGGAACCACTTTTCAAGACATCTGTGTTTACAGACATTGTGAAAACATCTAGAAAGGTGAGGAGAAATACCTGACCATCCTCAGAAACTCCTCCTTGGAGAGGAACCCATTCTCGTCAATGTCATACATCCTGAACATCACCTTGGACTTCTCCTGTGGGGACCCTGGTGGGAAGGGAGAGAAGCAAAGTAAGAACAAGATCCTATTTTCATCAATGAAGATGCTTTCAAACATTGTCTTTGAGAATCTGGACCTGTAGCAGCGAAGCCTCACCTAGTTCTGAAAAGACTGAGAGCACACTGCTTAATCACAGCTTAAATAGCAACTGGAAGTGAATAGTGTGCCACCATTCTGCTTGACTTTCTCAAGTGAAAAGGGAAGAACTGGGTATGTGCACATTCTGATGCATTATTTTGCAGACTCAAAATGTACTTTTGCACAGCAATGATTTTTCTGGGAGCCGCTTTGATTGAATCGGGCATTCACCACCTCCATCTATGAATCCAGTGGTCATTTAGGCAGAATCACATATAATATCTGAACGGGGCCTATGAGGATGCTGGAGAGGGGCTTTTCATCAGGGACTGTAGCAATAGGGCAAGGGGTGATGGGTTCAAACTGGAGCAGGGGAAGTTCAAGTTAGATTAAGCAGAAGCTCTTCCCTGTGAGGGTGCTGAGGCGCTGGCACAGGGTGCCCAGAGAAGCTGTGGCTGCCCCATCCCTGGCAGTGCTCAAGGCCAGGTTGGACACAGGGGCTTGGAGCAAGCTGCTCCAGTGGAAGGGGTCCCTGCCCGTGGCAGGGGTTGGAGCTGGGTGAGCTTTAAGGTCCCTTCAACCCAAACCATTCTGCTATTCTATGATGTCTCAAGGACGGGATACACGGTCCATTCAGGAGATGAGAGGGCAGACTTTTCTATGGTGCTGAAAGATAGCTCCCCTTCTGAACAGCCTTTCAGAAAACAAATTGCATTGTTACTGCCCTGTAACTCAGGCTGAAGCTGTCCTAAGTGAAGGGAACTTTAATCTGTTGGAGTGCCTACAAATTGACCTGCTGGATGGATCTTGCCCCTCATTCTGCTGGTGGTGTTGCCAGAGCCTAGAAACAGGACTGATGGCAACAGATGGAGATACTAACCAGCTCTAGCTCCCACCTTTCATGAAGACCACCAAGATGTCCAGGAATTCCCGGAAGGAGATGTAGCCATTGCCGTCTTTGTCAGCCAGAGAGAACATGGAGTCCACAAACATGGAGTGGGCTTTGAGCCCCAGGGCCTCGGCAAACTCAGCCCTGCTCAGCTCACATGTTAGAGACTCCTTTGCCTTCTGTGAAGACTCAAAGTTGAGCTCCCCGGCATCGGACCTGTTGATTTCCAGCACCTGCAGGTTGTATCCCACAAAAACCACCCATGAATGCTGGCAGAGCAGAAGGCTGGCATTCCCCTGCCTGACATACCGCACAAAGACCAGTGGCTCCCCTGGCACAAAACTCATGGCAGATACCATGGGGAAGTCCTGTGTCTCTCCTACATAATGCGACTTTCACACTAAACACCACTGACCATTATGGAGACCTCAGTTACATCATCCAAAAGACTCTTTACCACAAAAGACCGCAGTAGAACTCCCTTTGTCTCCAAAGTATTGGCAGCTTCCTTGTGCACAATACCAGCACTTACAGGGAGCAAGAGCAGCAACATTCATTGCTTAATCAATACAGAAATACCTTTACCCGTGCGTCTGAGCCTGCCACACCTCTACTTACCTGAGCAAACAGGTGCCTAAAGAAAGTCTCCAGAGTCTGTTTTCTCTGCTCCTGTGTGACTGCCCGTTTCATCAGGCTCTGCTCCTTCATCTCAGACACATGCAGCTCGAGGCCGCTCTCCTTCAAGTAGCCTTGTAGCTTCCCAATGAAGTTGCTCCTTTCTGCCTCTGCACTGAAAAGCAGCACCTGCAGAAAGCCCCACCAAAAGGGGGTGAGCAACAGGGGTTCGACTGGGATGGGAGTGCTGCTGTTGCTGTGGTTGCTCCATCGTATGAGCTAGACCTGGTGGCTCTCAGGAGGCCATAGCCACCCTTCAGGGACCGACACTGCTCCCAGTGCCCAGGGCTGAGTGGTGCAGGGTGTTTGTGACTGGCAGCAGAGGCCTGTGGGGTGGTGGGGGAAGGTATCAAACCCCAGGCATCATGGTACTCACCAGGTCATACTCCTTGGGGCTCTTCAGGAGCAGAGCTTTGTTCCCTTTATTGCTGGAGAGGACCACCTCCACCCTTCGGTAGGCTTTCAAGCTGATGCTCCGGAGCACAGACCCTCTCCTATCCAGCACTCTGAGCACCTCATCAGCTTGGAGCTGAATGTAAACAGGAGAGCTGTCTGTCTTGGGACCGTGCCATTCCATGGCTGATGGGAGAGAGCACAGGACTCAGCTGGAAAGCCACACCTGGGCCCATATTCACCCCACCACCTCCTTCACCAAGGTGCAGTTTGGGAGTGATTTCATGACCAGGCACATGTTAAGGGAAAAATTATGATCTCCAAACTGCAGACTTCAAGCTCATGGACACAGGAGGAGTACAAGCTATGGAGCAGGGTGGAAGGATTTTTCCACTGTCCACAGCAGGTCCCTTGCAGACCTGTATGTCTGCAGACTTATGTGTCCTGGAACTACTGGTGCAAGTGCTCTACATAGGTTTCCTCCAGGTAGGGTGTGATCTGAAATTAGAGGATCGTAGTATGACTCAAGTTAGAAGGGTCTCTCACCCAACCTCCTGCCCCAAGTGGGATGAGCTACAGGATCAGGATAGTCTGCTCAAGGCTATATCTGATCAGCAGGACTTGGATAGGATGGAGACTGCACAACCTCTCTGTGCTTCCTGTTCCACTGCTTGACTATCCTCCTGGAGAAACAGCTTCTCGTTACACCCAGCCTGGATATAAGCTCCAAACCCAGACCTGCCTCAGTATGTGACCTGACTTCAGCAGCAACACCAGGGGCCATCACAGAATCACCAGTGCCACCTCACCATGTATGGCCTCTCCGGTCATCTCCCTCTGCACACTGGGACTCTGCTTCTGCTGCAGCTTCTGGAAATCTCTCTTGCGGAGAATGGCAACGATCCAGGCAACAAACAGAGTCACTGGGGACACAGGGGAGAGTGAGGCATGAGATAGCACACAGCTCCTTCACACTTGGCAGGATCGCCCATGCAACAGGGTCAGACAGGGGGTTATTTCTTCCCCATCGGCCCCAGTTCAGTGCTGCATGGATTTATTTAATTCAGGCCACGCCATGAAAGCCCAGCTCCCTCCTGGTGCCCAAGGACCCTGCCACCTCAAGGACCTGAGGGTTGACAAAGACTCAGCAGCTCCTTAGTCCATGAGCACTAAGCCCCTTCCTCCAGTAGGAGAGGAGATGGGTAAGGAAATGGAGTGGCAAACCTAAAGGCAGACAGCAGAGGACAACGATGATGATCCCAAAGCCCGCTCCGCTGCCTTTGAAGTAGTCCAGCACCATCATGGGTGTGCAGTTGGCCAGATGCTGAGCTGTCAGCTGCTGGGGCTGGGGGCACGGGTCCCCTGCATGGCGGGGAGACAGACTGTGAGTGTCATGAACCTTTTACCCATCTCACCTCCTTCATCCCAAGAACTTCTGCATGAAGATGCTGGTGGGATTCATTGCTGAGTGACCCCGAGAGCACTGCAAACCTGGGATACTTGAGTTAAACTCCAGATCTTAGGGGACAACCTTTGCTTATGGATTGAAACTTTGCCTACTGCAACAAAACAAGCACAGAACTGGACTCAAGAGCTCTGGGTCTTCAGTGCCATCACCTCTCCCAGTGGGATAGGCTGAACAAGAAGCACTCTGGGCCACAACAAAATGGAGCTCAGAGCCTCTGCTCGTCCAAGTGCTGCAAATCCAGGAAGTCCTCTTGGTGCAATTGCATGGAGCATACGCCAAGGGAATCAAAATGCCTTGTAAGGGCTGTTCAACAGATAAAATGCTTTCAGCAAATGGAAGTTCATGCTGCTGGTGCCACCGCATCTGCAGGAAAGCCTATCTGACCCTGCCAACAGCTCTGCTCAACCAACACCTCGCCAGCAGAGCAGCCAGTCAGGATGGTCATATGGGGCTGATAACTTTTGCAATTAAAGGCAAGTAGGTAACATTATGCAGTTTTGGTATGGAAAGCTTAACTCATCTCTCAACTTCATCACATTTTATGTCACTCACTAGTTCAACCTGCAGACTTATGTGGCGTGACCACCATGAGGAGTGCTGCGCGCCTCGCTTATGAGCAACCCTTGCATTTTGCACGTGTTTTGATGTCTGAAGGGCACAGCAAGTGTCCTGCTTGAGAAAATGCCTACCCGATGTTCTCCCTGTGTCACTGTTACCAAGACAGGACTGCTTTCCTCCCTAACTCGCTGGTGCCGATCGCTCCCTGCACCCTGCTGTTGCACAAAGCACTCACCCTTGCTCCAGACAAACACATGTTGCTGGAGGTCTGTGGGGTCTGCGTAGGTGACAGCAGCCAGGACATCGTGGAAGGTGGTGTTACGGATCTTCCTAGTTTCCTCCACTGTGAACAGCCTGAAGAAAAAGACATGTGGCCAAGTGGTGGCCCTGGGTGTTACTTGCTGGCAGCAGGAGGGATTCACTCCCTGCATCGTTTCAGGCATCGAGGAAGCTGGAGGATGCTTTTTCCTCCAGCCCCAGTTTTTGTGTGTTACTGGGGTTTGCAGAGCAGTGGGCACCCTGCCAGATGGGGATGAAGACTTTACCCATTCTTGGTGTTTTCGAACCAAAACCTGTCACCGTCACGCAGGCGCACAAACTGGTCCAGGATGATGGCACTGAAGAGGGAGCCTTCAGCCTCCAGCATGCCCCCGGGGAGTAGCTCCAGCCCAGCCGTGTTGTTGGCATACAGGGCAGCGACCTTCTCCAGGACCTGTCCAGAAATCCCCACCACATGCATGTGAGAAGAGAGAATTCTGCCAGGGCGTCAGACAAATCTTGGCAAGCCTCAGGAGGAGCGAGGAACGTGCATTTCCCAGACATCTCATGTCCGTGGGCTGGGAGGATGCTCAGCCCCACACAGCCTTGAGGTCAGGGCTTGGACTTGAGCAAATAAGAATCACCCCCAGGGCATCCCAGCTCCAGGAGGAGCAGGGCACCAAGTGGCACAGGAGCTTATCACTGGGGCAGGGTATAGTTACTGATACCTTGTAATTAGGTAATTACCCCGCTACAACAGCCCTGCAGGCATGAAAATAAGCTGGGATGCACATTGATGTCCCTCTTCCTACATTGCTGAAGAAACCAGTTACTGCCTGGACTGCCCTGCCAACCTTCAGCACACACTCCATGTCCAGACCAGTTCCGTGTTACCTGTTGCTCCAGGTGTGGGGCAAAGTCTGACCAGTTCTGGAGAGGCTCCAACCCAAATCGCTCCCGGGCTTGGTTATAGGTGGGCAGGCCAAGGTCTCTCCCACGCTGCAGACAGCTGGCCACGTAGTCAGTGCGGGAGTACTTTAGGGGCCCATACCAGTAATCTGTGGTGGATTCAAAGCCATAATGACAGCAAGGAAGAGCAGGAGAAGCAACCCCAACTGCCATAGCTGCTCGGATGGCCTCATCCCTCTGCCATGGGCTATGCTGAACATGGAGATTATCTTCATGCCCTTGCCAGGGCAGTCCCACGGATGTGCTTAACATGCCCTGCAGCTTTTCTGCACCTCCAGTAACCAGATTGAAGCTGAGCTGAGTGTGTGCTTGTGTGCTGATGGTGATGGTGATGGGACCTGCCTCCCCACCTCAGCCCCGGCACAGCCCTGGGAGAGGTTTCCCCCCCAATGTGCCCTGCAGTGCAAGGGAGTGCAGACCTTGGAGATCTTCCACCACAATGTTGTCCTCCCGCTCTGCAATCTGAGAGCTCATCCCCAGCAGAAGGTTGTCCACATCCACCTCCTTTGCCTGCTGCAGCCTGGTGTTCTGAGGGGAGATGGGAAGAGCAGGTGATTCCTCACCTGGAGGTGAGGACATGGAGCAGCCCCACACTCCTGCCCATAGGGGTGCAGACCCTGGGCATAGGGGGACCAAGGACTTCTTCCAGGTTCGTTTTCTCCACATCAGCTCAACCTTGAGGTCTGAGCCTGCCCCAGCAGAAGGTGGCATCTGCGGATGTCTGGATGGGGGGGATCTCTCCCCTCTTGGTTGGCTGTCATGCTTTGCACCCAGTTTCCCTTTCAGACCCCTGTGGGGTCCCCATAATATAAAGCAAGGAGTGAAGACCCCACAGCCAGCCCACCACATCCTCAGTACCCTTCTGTGTACCTCTCTGCTCCAGTAGCTGTTGCAGAGCCGCATTGCTGGGAACGAGCCACCAGGGCCAGGAACTTTCTGGAACTGGCACTTGGGGTCTCTGGAACATCAGAGAACAGCTGGACCCACAGCCCCTGGCCAGGGCTGCCCTGAGCTGAAAGGGCTTGGCTGTGGGGAAGGGACAGGAACCATCCCCAGCCACCACCCCAACCTGAGCATCCCCTTCCCAGGTACAGGCTGCTCCTACCTCTTGTAAATGCCGGGTGGCACCATGGTGGCCAGGAATTGCCCTGCAGCTGCCACAAACTCCGGTGAGAGGCTGGGGTCGAGGTGCTGCTGGTAACCTGCAGGCAGCAGTCATGGTCCAGCAGCCAGGCTGGAGGGAAAGGGAGACGAGCCCCCTCTCCTGTGCTATCCCCCAGCGTCCCCGGTTCTATCCCTTACTCCCAGAACACCATCTCTTTCCCTCACCTTTGTACTCTGGGACCTGTGTCCCCAGCAGGGTTGGCAGCCACTCATACAGCACAATGCTCTAGGACACAAGGGTTGCTGCATCAGGGCAGTGCCAGGGAGGATGTCAGGGGTTAAGATTAGGGTAAGGGATAGGGTTAGAGTAAGGGTTAGTGGTTAGGATTTAGGGTACAGTTATGGGTTAGGGTTAGTGTTAGGGGTTAGGTTTATAGTTAGGATTTGGGTTAGGGTTTAGGGTTAGGGTTGTTAGTGATAGGCTTAGGGTTAGCTTAGGGATAGGGTGTTAGTGTTAGCTTTAGGATGTTAGCATTAGGGTTAGGGGTTAAGGTTAGTGTTAAGGTTTAGGGTTAGCGCTAGGGTTAGACCATCATACAGCATAATGCTGTAGGACACAGGACAGCTTTGTCAGTGCCATGTCCATAGAGTTTTACAGGGGTCCTGGCAGAGCCTGGGAGGTGCCATCCTTCACCTGGAAAGTGGCGATGACCCTCTTGCGAGTGTGCTGAAAGAGGTCTTCATCAGACCAGGTGGGGTGTCCTTGTGCCAGCCCTGCAGCCAGGTGGTTGTGGTACCGGAACCAGGCGATGCTCACGGCCTGCAGGAAGCGGTTCTCATTCCCCCAGGCACTCCCCAGGTCTGCAAGAGCCGTCAGGAGCATCAGTGGGGAATGCCAGCACTGGATCTAGTTTTGCTCATAGATGGAGGGCCAACCCCAGCCCTGTGGCTGCAGCCCAGTATCCCCTCATCCCTTTGCACCTCCTTCCACTGAGATAAGGAGCTTGAATGAGGGAGAATCAGCAGCAGGCCCCCAGCATGGACCAAAGGTGAGGAATTCAAAGCAAGCTGAGCAGTTTCTATCAGTGGCTGCCCCTGTCCCCAGATCCTTTCCCTACCCCCTTTCCCCTGATTTGGATCAAAGAGACCAGCACCCACTGGTCTTTGCATGCTGGCTGTGAAATGACCTGTTGCTTCCTGGTGATGTGGCTCCTTAATTTCATGGTGTGTCTTTGCAGGAAAGCCTTTGCCAGAGCATGCACCTTAGCTAGAGCATAGCATAGCATAGCATAGTGCAGCATAGCGTAGCATGGCATAGCATGGATTGGGTTGGAAGGCACCTTAAAGCTCATCCAGCTCCAACCCCTGCCACGAGCAGGGACCCCTTCCACTGGAGCAGCTTGCTCCAAGCCCCTGTGTCCAACCTGGCCTTGAGCACTGCCAGGGATGGGGCAGCCACAGCTTCTCTGGGCACCCTGTGCCAGCGCCTCAGCACCCTCACAGGGAAGAGCTTCTGCCTAAGAGCTCAGCTCAGTCTCCCCTCTACATAAGGCCGACGGGAATATTTACCGGCACCTACTCCTTGGGCTGGGAAGCTGCCTGCTCTCCCACAGGACTCCCAGCGTGGATGTCCCAGCTCTCCACACCCTTCTGCCCCTTTCCAGGGTCCCCTCTGGGCTCAGCTCCAGGGACCTTCTGCTCCTCCTGCTCACAGTCAGCGATGGAGCCAAGTAGGTGAAAACCCTCTGAGGATGCCACCCTTACCATAGATGCCCTGTGGACCACCCTGTCCTGTGGATGGATCCAGTGCCTTCCACATGTGGACTCTCCCATCTGTCTCCCTCGGGATTCGCCCGCCAGGCCCGGATGCCAGCTGCCCCCCTGAGAAGCTCCTCAGGGCATCACTCCAGGAGTGCAAGGGGCCGTAGATGGAGCTGCCGTCCAGCCAGCCTGTCACCTCGTTGGTCTACAGCAGGCACAGGGAATGCACGTTAACCAGGGTCTTGGGGGAAAGGTGAAAAAAAAGTCTGAAAAGCACCAACCCAGCCCTTTGGTCCCACAGAGCAGCTCTCCCATCCTCAGTTTTAACAAGAGCTATCAGGATGCAAGTATACACACCAGCAATCCCTATGCACGCTGCTGGACTTAGTGCCAGGGACAGGAAAAGACCAGCTACAGGCTTTTCAAAAGTGCATTTTGGGGGTTTATTTCCCAACTTTTTTTAACTATGCCCAGAATACATCTGACATCTGTGAATTCCCAGGTAGCCAGGACCAAGCTGGAAGGGGGCTAAACACAGCTCTGGAGAAGGTAGAAACCCTGGAGCTGCCCCTTCTGAACAGCTCTGCCCTGGCAGCCTGTTGCATATCAACCCTGCCAAATGTTTTCACGAAACCCTTCTTTTAGGCTGAAAACATACCAGAGTTTTCATTTTTCTAAGGTTTGGAATGCTGCTGAGAACGTGATGTGCTGATGTGGTCTCCTCGTTGTGTGCCATGTGAAAAGTTCAGGGAGATATTCTACTTTGGCGATTTTGATTGGGAAGCTTTCCAGAACGAAATAAAAAGCACATGGGCTTGGGAACACATCCAGCCTCAGCACAGTGAAATATGGACAAACTAGGGGAAAATCTGGATATTTTCCAAAATAACTGAACTCCAGAAAAGCTTTACAACTTTGTAAGAGTCCCAGCTCAGTTCTGGGGTATATTTCTAAGAATAAGAGTTGGTGGCTAGTAACGTGTCATAATTGCAGACCTAGAGTGGCTCAAGTGCATGAATTGGTTGTGGGACTTCATTACCCTGGCACTAAAGAAGCTCCATGTATCACTTGTTTCAGCACATACAGACAGCCCTCCCTCTGCTCATATTGACTGAAGGGATAAAAACTGGTAGCCAAGGAATGTTGTGAATTGCTCCTGCGTTACCTTTTCTTCTTCTGACCTCCATGTAGATGACACAGGCACACCTAGAGTTATTACATTGTCTTCGCCCAAGAAAAACACTGACCTTGAGCAACCACAAATGTTACTTCACGTGAACCAGTACTTTTGAGGTTGTCCTTTAGGCTCATGTGCAATTGGCTCAAACACTTGGATATGTACTTTTACAGAAGCAATGGTGCTCTCTCCTGTTACATTTGCAAACGTTATCTTGGCTTCGACGGCTACCACTGTGGGTGAAAAGGAGTTCAGCAGAAAGGCAACGAACAAAGGAAATGCTACCTACCTGTTCCCGGGGGCTGTTGGGGCTCTGCCCTGTCTCCATCGCCCAGTGAATGCGCTGGAAGGGCAGAACCACATCTCCAGTGCCTGCAGGGTCAAACACGAGGTCTCCAGATGGGATGTGGATGTTCAGGAACTCTGCAGGGCAGCCGGGTTTCTCTGTCCCCAGGATGTCCGACAGCACATGGAAACCTGCCAGAGCCCTAGCCATAGTAAGCATGGGAGGACTGGCACCAGCACCAGGATGTGATGGTGGGCAATTGAGCTGTACATGGGCTGAGGAGGCCCCCCCTTGTGCAGTGGTTTCCTTCCTGTCTTCACTGCTAGTTCGCTTCACAGCTTTGAAAAAGTCACTGTGGGCTGGAGCCCAGATGTGCACAGATCCAGCCCACAGGAACAGAGCTCCAGGAGCTGCTGGCCAGACCTCACAGGTAGGGAAGAGTCATTCAAGGACTAGGATGGGGAAACTCAGCAGCGGATGTGCAGAGACCACCAGCAGCTGGATCATCTGCTGGCCATCAGTTTACTAGGAGCATGGTTCTGCATTTGGTCCTGAGCTCCTTCTTGCCTGTGGCCTTCAAGGCCAGGGGTTGCTGCTGATGCTGTGCCTGGTGGCTGATATGGCTGTTGGCCCATTTAAGCTTGGGTGTGATGGGAGAAACTACCTCCAGGAAGAACCTAAGTGGTAAGAACCTAAGACACTTGTGTCTGCCTCTTCTGTGGCCCAGCCTGAGGCCAAGCATCTTAGCTTGGTTGTCCAGGAATGTATATGAACCTTAAGCTGTACATGGACTTAATTGTCTCCACTTCTTTGGCAAGTAAAGGCTGTTTTCTCAATGAGCTGAAAGTGTTTCCCAGAGCTCGACATTCCTGGGCTTGGAGACCCAAGACTCCACTGAGCTCCTGAGCAACAGCAAAAACCACTCCCACTTGCAGCAGCTCTGCCCAGCCATCAGACACAGCATGTCTCTATTGCAATTAAGTAATTCTACCACTAAAACAAATGAGCAAGTTATTAGATGACAAATATCAGCTTTTGGGTAACTGCCAAAGGTCACTGGGAATTCAAACTCTCTTGGCTGGACAGTACTTTGGTATGGTGTATTTTGGTATTTTATCTTTCAGGTGTGGGTTTGCTATGAAGTGGTGCATAAGGAACGCTCCAATGCATGGCCTTGGGGTGCCAGAAACCAGGATTTTTCAACCCAAACCAATATTTAGGGACTGTAGCGAGGGGGATTTAAACTGAAACAGGGGAAGTTCAGGTTGGATTTAAGGCAGAAGCTCTTCCCTGTGAGGGTGCTGAGGCGCTGGCACAGGGTGCCCAGAGAAGCTGTGGCTGCCCCATTCCTGGCAGTACTCAAGGCCAGGTTGGACACAGGGGCTTGGAGCAAGCTGCTCCAGTGGAAGGGGTCCCTGCCCGTGGCAGGGGGCTGGGGCTGAAGTCCTTTCCCACCCAAACCAGTCTGGGATTCTACGATTTTTGCACCCAGTGCCAGATGCCAGCTTGTACCGAAGAAGACAGCCAGCGCAGTCGTGTTCCTGCGGGACGGCAGCCCAGAGGGTCCCCGCGCCACCGCGTTGCTCAGCTGGCGAGCGTTGGGCACATGGGGCTCCTGCAGTGCCTGGTACACACCATCCGCGTAGTTGGCTGGCAGGAGACGAAGCAGCCTGGCACCTGCAGCACCAAACAACATGGCATGGGTCTGCTGGCACCCAAAAGGCAGGAAACAGTGATAGCGAGGCACACCAGTATATGTGAGGGTCCAGAAGAGAGCAAGAGTATGGCATAGACTCTTACGCTTGCCAAGAACACGCAAATCTTGGTACCAGCACCCAAAACTTCTTGCAACACTGGGATCAGTCCTCTCAAAACTAGGAGGGATTGTCCATTTGCATGTTCCCTTGCAGACGTCCCTCTCTGGACTATGTGCATCCTAATTGCCTCCTGGAGGTCTGAGCTGGTGCTCCAGTGGGTAACTGGAGTGATGCTAAGCTGCCCATGCTGACTATGCAATCCTACACGGCATGGTGATTGCCAACACAGTAGGAAACAGGAGAAGGAACAGCCAGAGAGGCAGAGAGACAAGGCAGAATATGAGAGAGAAACACCCTGATTTTGCACCCATTGTCACTGAGGAGCAAGTTCGTTTTGAAAGGCTCTTGACCACCATGTTGAGCTGGAGCTCCACAGAACTGGGGGAAATCCTGGATTACTGGATTAGTTTCAGGTTTAGTTTCCAGAGGTTTGCTTGCAAATGTTAAGGTCTGATTTGTCTGCTCTGGAAGATGGAGAGCTTGTCTGCCAGGAACCCACTGGATCTCCATGACAGGCTTTGGTGTAACTAAAGGGCTGATGACACACATCATGTTGGAGAGCCTTTTGGACTTAGAGGAAGCTGTGTAATTGCCACCACAATTGTGCCATCAGACCAATCTGGGCTGTGGGAAATAGGAGGGTTTGTAATATTTCATATTTCAGAAAAGATCCTGCCTGATCTGCCCTGGTCCCTGGCTCAGAGAGGTCTTCTGGAGGTAGGCTCATGGGCTGGGTGTAGGCGTGAGGAAGCAGCTTGCCACTAGCACAGGCAAATCCCACATACTTGTCCCAGTACAGACTGGTACATGCTGCACAGCAGCCCAATAGCACAATATGTGCTCTGTGTAGAGCAGAAAAGGGTAAGTTCAGCATGAACTCTTCTGTCTCTGGCCTTGTGTTGAATGCCACTCAAATTGCATGCTGATTTTGACTAAAGATGCCTTTTCTCACTTCTATCCCTGACCATCACTGAAATGCCTGCTGGGAAGAGCTGGGTCCTCTGTACCTTGGGCATTTTGAATGGCCTTGTGAAGGCACAGCTCTGCTCTGAAGCTGATCCAATACCAGCATGATCTGCAGATGATGCCTGGGCAGATGATAAAAGTGGCAAGGCCAGGATGCGGGAGACAAAGCTGGGCTGCTTGACCCCTCCACACTGTTCTAATGGGGCTCTTCACCACCTCTAATTGAGGCCAAGAGCCACCTTGCAGGGCCAGGGGAGGTGACATCATCTGGTGGCCTGCCTCGATCAGGCCAAGTCAGAAATGTCTTTTCTCTGTCGTAAAGTGAGCCAGATGCCAAAGCACCAGCTCACCCTCTTGCACCATCCCCACCCCATGCCCAGCACTCACCTACTGAGCCACGGCTGTGGTGCAGCAAGTTGTTGTACCAGCCGTCATAGCGCTGGACCTCCCAGGAGATGCTTTCCTGGGTGCCTGGAAGAGACCAAACCCACTTGGTGAGCAGCAAAAGAAGTGAATGAAACAAGCACCTTCATTACAGAATTACATTTATAGTGTGGCATTCCCTATATTATTTCTGACACTTCCTTTACAAAGTTTCTTAGATGAATTTTTTAGCCCTTTTGACGGATAAGCAATGTCTAAAATTTGAAAGTCATGCTCACAATCATGATGTTCCCGAATCAGTTTCTGGCCCTCACCAGTCTACTCCCAAAGGATCTTCATTTTCTCCTTCTCTCTCATTCTATCAGATATCTCTCTACTTCTGATCCCCTCAATGTCCATGTGGGTAAGCAAAGGCCTTAACACTGGAGTTATGCTCTCCTCTGTGCATTGTGCACCTGAGTCAGCCTTTGCCAGTAAATGTATACATTTTTCCTTTGTGTTGATTTTTATTGCCATTATAGTACAAGCAGGAAGCTCCATTAGAAGCTGTGTACACCTACAAACATCAGGAGGTGATTCTTCCAGCCTGCAGGCTCTGCAAGTTCAGCATTTTGCTTAATTTTCTTCTGATCTCATCACAAGCTGAATCATCTCCATCACTGATATGATCTCCCATGAGTTAGAGGAAATTCCTCCTAGGGGCAGAAACTATCCAGAATCTCCCCTTGGATCCCCTTCCCTGGAACCATACTTACTCCCCAAGGTCCATGTCACCAGCAGAACAATGGTCAAACTCAACATCATCTCTGCAGGTTGCATTGGCCACAAAGTCTTTGGAAGCAGTGACCTACAAAGGGAAGAGGAGGAGGAAGGAGCTGGACTGCTCCACTGGCTGAGGACATGCACAGACCATAATCTCAGCTCCCTCCTGTGTTTTCTGCTGCCTGGTAAAACCCTGACATCCATCAGCTCTCACCTCCTGATGTGGGCTGTGGGAAGCGGCAGGGACCCCATCACCCTGGGAAAGCTCTGTGAGGAGGTGTCAGCTGGCCTGAGAAGTGCTGCAGCCCTGGGGTACCCCAGCTGTAGGCTCACAACTCATCATCCCTGGCAGGAAGATGTTAAGCTCTGCTATAGAAACACGCTCTTCATTGAAGAAACGGACAGTTTTCAACTGGCAATTCCCTGCATCCCCAGGGGTACCTCACATCAAGAGCTGGATCACCTCTGGGCTAACTTGACAGCACTCTCTCATGACCATCCTTTCTCAAGACTCTTTGTCATTTCATTTTCCACAAAGGCCCTGGATCTAGAGCAAGTTTCATGAGTGGGACCTGAACCTTTTAAAACCTGGTCCAATGCCTAACTGAAAGAGAGGGATTCTCAGCCACGGACAATGAAGGCCACATTTTTTGGCCATACAATGCTGCAGCAGGCTTTCCATGCACAGGAATGCCAAGCTTGGATTTAACTCCAAGGTAGGGTTTTCCACTAAATATGGCTCTTTGTCCCTCGTTCCAGCCCTGTGGGTACACATCCAAAGACTAGCATCTTTTCAGAGGAGCTGTGTTACCAAGAGATGCGGTGATGCCCAGGTTTCAGCTTTTCCTACATGGCTCACAAGCCAAAACAATACTTTTGGCTTCTTTTTTTCATTGTTTTAATCAAAACCTAAAGAAACAATGGTGTCAGAAAGGCTTACACGTTGCCAGCAGCTATATAGGATTAATTTTGGATGTACTGGGAATTAATTGCAATGGCACAGATTGTAAAATATGCATCACTAAATACACTGTCCACTTGTTTGTTTAAACCTCAAACCACAAATGAAGTGGTTTGAAATTTAAATAGTCATTTGTGCTCACTTTGTGTTTATGTAACTGAGCACTCACTGCCAGGTTGTGAGCATAGCACATAACCTGTGTTAACTCTCTTCCACCAGACGAGAGTACTGGTGTTTTGCCTTAGAAAACAAGATGTTTCTGAGCAAGTGCATTTCCACGTTACTCGTCCACCACAAGAGCTCTCCTGCATTCTACACCTCACAAAATAAGCAAACTGCTTTGTTTAGCTTTCCATAGCACGGATAAATCACTGTTGAAATACCTCTTCACTGGTGGCATTTTTGTTTCTGGCTTCACTTACATGTGTATGGGAGATGCTGAAAGCCTCAGAGTTGCTGCTGGTGTTCCTGGTCACCCAGTGCCACCCCTGTCCTCCTGGAACATGCTCCTGTACAAGGGGCCACTGAGCTCTTCCACCCCACAGCCCTCTGCTGAGCATGGTCTTGTGGATGTGAGATTTGGGTTGAGCAACCAGTGAGAACCAGAGGCTCCATGAGCCCCATCCCATAGGAGGAACACAGGAGTCTGGCCAGCGGGTGAAGCATGAAGATGCCCAGGACCTCTGCCAGAAGTGGTAGAGCCCAGTCACCATCACCACATGGGATTCTCCTGCCAGAAATCTCTCCCCATGGAAACAGCCTGCTAAAACTGATGTGGAGGCCTGTTTGGCAGGAGACACCCTGAGCAACCTGCAGCAATTGTGGTTTGCTAGTGCACAGAGGTCCACACGACCATCACACTGTAGGAAGGGAGTCCCCATAGACACAGCTGTATTTACCTCCTGCTGACTCAGAATGCATAGGGTTGAAATCCCCATCTAGAGGTGAAGCCTGAAGGTGCCACAGAAGATTTACCAGAGTCATTCAGGAAACATGAGGCAAAGCCAAGGCTCAAAGCACATCACCACAGCCACAGCGGAGCATGTCTCTGCCTTCCCCTTAGGTCTTCCTGCAGGGCTCCAGCAAAACATGTGTTTTAAAATTCCTTCTGTCACCAAGCAAACTTCCACTTCCCTCATATGTGGGGATTGCTCTTGACCCTACCCATGAGACCACATGCCAGTTCTAATGAACTTTTCATCTCTCCATGGTCCACTTATTGCCTAGTCGATCCAAGACTGTGGGGAGGTCTTTGGAGGCTTTCCAGCCTCAACCGTGGCTCATGTGATACAGTGACAGTAGTGGTCTTGCTCCAAGCAGCAGGTTGGGCCACAGACTACTGAAGGCCTTTCCCAACAACATGGAACTACTCTTCCATGCCTCTACGCTGCCTTTATGTTTTCCTGCAAGTTACTGGGCACATCAGCAGTTGGCCTTTTCCAACAAAACCTCAAGAACCATTTTCCTTCCCCAGGAGCAGCTCTCCCTGTCAGAATTTGGTTTGTAAAGGCCTAAGGGGACATTGACACCATGTCTCCCGTGCCTATGAAGCTTTCTCCAGCAATTGCTAGGACCATCCAGACAGGCAGGGCTGAGTCACAGCGGCTCTTACAGGATGCGCTCAATAGGAGGAGCATGCAGGTCTGAGCTAGGGAACCTCACGCCCAAGGAAGATGGGTATGAGTGGCACTCAGCTGGCTCACAGGCTCCTTCCCCATGCTTCAGCTGAGTTTCAGCTTCACATGTTCCTGTGCTGCTCTGTGTGCTGTGCCATGCAGACAGGGATATGCACAGTCTCAACCCACTGTCCTGTGGCCCCTCTCTTTCACATGCAGGGATGTGTGTGATTCCATCCATCACACCCTGCAGGTGAAGACACGACTCAGACACCCCCAGTCCTCCATGCAACCAGGGACACGAGTGTTCCATGCCTGTGTGTGCCCCAAGCAGGCAGGGACACCAGCTGGCCCTGGCCCCTTGGTCCTCCATGTAGATGGGAACATGTCCCCCATCTCATCCTGTGCCTTGTACCCAAGCAGATGGGGACACCGGGAGCACAGGACTCTGGTTCCTGTTCCCATCATGATCCCATCCCACAGAAAAGAAACGTATGACCCGATCCCTTCCAGTGCCGCACTTCGGGCCCCGTTCCCAGCTTGCGCCCCAAGTCGGGTGTATCACGGACCCTTGCCCCCTCCGCTGGCGACAACGCGCGCAGCCCAACCCCGCCGCAGGCAGCAGCCTCTGCAGCCGCAGCTCCCTGTCGGAGGGAAGCGGAACACGCGTGGCCGCGGTCCCCCAGACCCACCCGCTGCGCACGCAAGAGAAGACCCGCGCGGCCGCGGCGCTCACCGGTGCGGCGGTGCGGGGGGGCCGTGCGGCGGTGCGGAGGGGCCGCTCAGCGGTGCGGAGGGGCAGTTCAGCGGTGCGGAGGGGCAGTTCAGCGGTGCAGCAGTGTGGGGCAGTTCAGCGGTGCAGCAGTGTGGGGCAGTTCAGCGGTGCGGAGGGGCAGTTCAGCGGTGCGGAGGGGCAGTTCAGCGGTGCAGCAGTGTGGGGCCGTTCAGCGGTGCGGAGGGGCAGTTCAGCGGTGCAGCAGTGTGGGGCAGTTCAGCGGTGCGGAGGGGCAGTTCAGCGGTGCAGCAGTGTGGGGCAGTTCAGCGGTGCAGCGGGGCAGTTCAGCGGTGCGGAGGGGCAGTTCAGCGGTGCAGCAGTGTGGGGCAGTTCACCGGTGCGGAGGGGCAGTTCAGCGGTGCAGCAGTGTGGGGCAGTTCAGCGGTGCGGAGGGGCAGTTCAGCGGTGCAGCAGTGTGGGGCAGTTCAGCGGTGCAGCAGTGTGGGGCAGTTCAGCGGTGCGGAGGGGCAGTTCAGCGGTGCGGAGGGGCAGTTCAGCGGTGCAGCAGTGTGGGGCCGTGCGGCGGTGCGGAGGGGCTGTGCGATGGGGCTGTTCGACGGGGCGGGCCGAGCCAGGATTTACATAGGGCTCCGCACCCACCGCCGCCTATAAGAGCGCGGGACGGGCCGGTGCCGACTGAGCCCCGCTGCTGCCGCTGTCACCGCCACCGCCAGCAGGTAGGTAGGTAAGCAAGCAAGCAAGCAAGCAGGCAGGCAGGTAGGTAGGGTAGGTAAGCAAGCAAGCAAGCAAGCAGATAGGGTAGGTAAGCAGGTACATAGGGATAGACAGACAGACAGACAGATAGATAGGTAGTTATGTAGGTAGAAAACCAGATAGGAAGAGGGGTAGGTAGGAAGGTGGGTAGATGGAAGGAAAGGGCTGCTCCCCCCAACACTGTCCTGCCTGTGCCCCACTGCTCACCCACTCCTGAGGGAAGCAGCCCATGGATGCTGCCCACCTAGCTGGAGGGGTGCCAGGCGAGTGTGGGAGGAGAGGGTGCGTCCACACTTTGAGTTGACCCGGCTGCTTTTCCTATCCCGATTTGACCTCACAGGAGCAGGAAAATGAAGGGAAATCCACTCCCTCCCTTCCCCACCTGCCCCATCCCTAAATTCTATCTCTGATTATTTCGTTTCCAGGGGATTTCCCTTTTTCAATTGAAAATACCGATCTGCAGCCCTGAGCAACCCCATCCAGGACTGCTGTTGCAAGAAGGTTTTGGCTGGGCACTTCCAAAAGATCAATTCCAGTTTGGTTCATTCTGGGGCAGGAAAATAGGGTTTCTGTGAGGAGAAACTTCCTGCTTCCTTTGCCTGTCTCTCCTGGCAGTGCAGGATATTTTAAACAGAAGAGAAGTTGTCCGTTTCTGCTAAAATACTTATCCTTCCTTGAAAATGTCTCTAGTCTTTTCCCCCTCCATACACTGCAAGAGAAGAAAGCACAGGACTTCTAGGGCCACAGGCATGCTTCTGCATGGAGGGTGCTTTCCAAGGTGCAACAACTTCAGTTTCTCCAGCCCTGAGCTGCAGGCACCAGTTTTCTACTTTAAAGCTGCAAAAATACCAAGGAGCTGGTCTTCCGTGCAAGCTAATCGAACAAGAAAGATTGGGCAGGCAGCAAAGGAAAGGGTTGTTTCCCTGGATATTCTCTATAAAACTGTTCCCAGCAGATGCAGAGTATAGAGGAAATGCCAACATCCCTTGATATTGTTTGAAAGTTCAATTTAGATTTAACAAGTCAACATTTTCCATGTTATGTTCTGGGCTTTCAGTTGTTGATCTGTTTAAAGCTGCAGAGTTATGTTTCAGTGAATACAGGCTTGGAAATCATTCCTGCCCTCATTTCTTCTCATAGGAAATTTGGGCAAAGATACAACAAAACTGATGGAATTCAAGTGATCAAGATTTAACTTGCCTTACATTAGGCTGTTCATTTATTTCTTTTCTTACAGCCACTCAGACAGTGTTATGGGCATGTTTGCTGGGCTCGGGACCCCAAAGCTGGACTTCAGTCTGACAGTGTAGTATTGGGAATCAGTTCCAGCTCCTGCTTGCCAGGTAATCATAGCAGGTACGGCACTTGAAAGCTGCCTTTCTCTTGGCCTGGCTTTCCAGGGAAATAGCCCAAAACAGTTACAGCAAAATGGCCCAGAACAAGATTTGTAAATAGACATGACATCTTTGTTAGTCCAGAGAAGAGAGTAAATAAAAGGTCAGGTCCAGCCAGTCTCTATTAAACTGATTGCTGTAATGATCTGGGTGGCTGAACAGGAATTATTCTGAAAGCAAATATTGATTTATGCATTGAAAACTGCCCAGGTAAATGGTGTTATGATATTTATTGTAATCTCTACCCACTTCTAGGGATTTGGGACCCTATTTTTCGTGGCTGAATTGCTCTGGGTTGTATCTTACTTAAAATTACAATGAATACTGTTTTCAGAAAATGAGAATTGAATCAACTCCTCCATGTGGGGACAGGATGAAATTGTATTGGGTCATGACTCATATCAGCTTTGGCATTCCCTGACTTTTGATGGTTTCCTGGGGTAGTTACATGCAGAGATGCCATTAAATAAGCAAAACAAAAGGACTAAGCATGTAATCAGTTTTGGTAGAAAAGATCTAAACCAGAAATGGGGGGAGCTCCCTAACTGCTAGAACTGAAGTGTCAGTGGGAGCTCAAAGCTGCCAATGGGAATTACACACTTCATTATCTCATATGTTTCCTTTAACCTCCTGATGTTTGTATGGTCCTCGGACCCACACCCCAGCTCTAGGGGTTGCTTCTGGCTCCTTCCCAGATTGTACTTTGCAGCTCCTGGGGAAAAGCCTTGAGGAGAAGGCATGGAAAAGGGGGTGGGATGTCACATTTCCTTGTCCCTCTGGGGAGTCCTGAGGTGGACCTCAGTTGCTCTAGAGCTGAGCCACCACAGGCTCAAGGCAGTGGTCAGGCCACTGCAGGATGCCCGCTGTGACCACCTCTCTCCCGCAGGCTCCTGGAGGTGCAGAATGACTCTCCTTGATGGCGTGTACCCCTTCTACATGCAGCAGAGAAAAGTCTCTATGTTTGATGTCAGCACCATCATAGTGCTCGTGGTCTTCCTAACATTTGCCTGCAGTTTCCTGCTCATTATCCCAGGCATCCGTGGACGGGTGGTGCGTGACCCCTCTCCCTGGGCATAAGCATCTGCTCCCCCCAGCCTGGGTGCTGGGACACTCCTGGCTGGTTTGGGGTGAGCCAGGTCTGATCCTTCCTGCCTGATGTTCTATGTCATGTGTCCCTCAGAGGCTGTACTGGACTCTCCGGGTTCTCTTCAGCCTCATCATGGGAGTGGTGATCGTCAGTAAGTGCTGCTCATCCCGTGGAGGGTGGGCTTGGGGCAGGAATAAACCCTGGGCAGGGTCTGTGCCTGGGATATGCGAGCTGGTGGTCACAGCTGAGGCTGGTTGCAGGGTCTACCCTACACCTATCCTGCAAAGCTGTGGCACAGCTTCCCCAAAGGGCTTCCCCATCCCTGGCACCTGGTGATGCTGAGGTCGCTCCTGGATCGAGAGGGAGCTTTGTTGGCTGTAACCTTACCACGGAGGTGGAACAGCCCCAGCTCTGGTGGGCTGCACAGCCCCATGTTCCTCTGACCATACAAGCTGAGTGAGCACAGCTGAACAGCTCAGAGAGCGGGCGGCTGTGTTTGGAGGGTGAGAGGATCCTTGTGATGTGAAGAGAGCAGGTTGAAATAAAGCACGGGGGGGGGGGTGGGGTGGGTGCAGGGGAGCAGTAAATGACCTTCCAAGAGCAAGGCAGGAGGGAGGAGATGGAGGAGATTATTTGATTTAGTATAAACCAGGAAATCTGTTGCAATAAATGGCACTGGTGGTGGAAACCAGGCTGTGGGATTTCCGACTCAGACCGGGTATGTAAGTGGAAGATGTACTAAGGAGACAGAGGATGCCAGACAGGGAAAGCAACCAGCCCTGGCTCTAAACCAAAGAAATTCTGCTGTGAAGGACAAGGCAGATCATAAGACTGCTTGGTCATGAAGCACAACCTAAATGATGCAGCCTTGATATGACCAGGCAATAGAAGTAGATAGAAGTGTGACCAGCCATGGGACTCGGCCAGGTGACACACGGTCCAGCACGCAGTGCTCGCCCTCCACTGAGGGATGCCCATGTGCTGGGAGATGCCACCAGAGCCACCCAGGAACGTGGTGCCAGGCTGGAAATGGCGGAGTTTGGAGATCAGGGCTTGCTGCACAGCTTTAACCAGCCCAGCCCTGGAGAACCCCTCAGCACCACTCCTGTTACAAGGATGCATCCAGTAGCTGCTTGGGCACACAGGAGGAATTCATTGTTTTAAAGCTGGCATCCAGGTTTCTGTTTGGCAGCAGCAGGGCATGTTCAACCCGGCAGCTAGAAAATGTTCCTGCAGAGCTGCTACTGGATCAGTGCCCCCATAAGTTGATTCAGCACCTGAGCTCACTTTTGGGTAGGTTTTCTTGTTCAGCCTGAGCTTAAATCGTTGCATTCACTTTCAGCTCTTTTCAGTGCTGGAAAATGAATCCCACTGCAACGTGAAAGTGTTTCTGGAAAGGGTATTTTGTGACAAAGAATATATACCTGAAATGATCCAAACTTTCCTTTTTCCCCAGCTTGAAACGGCTGTCAGAGCTGTGACAGCACTCACCACCCCCTCACCCCCTCCGTTTGACAGGGATCTTCTCACTATTCACTCGCAGTGCAATCAGGTAGCTTAATACTTGGAATGAAACTCACCTGTTCCCAAGGCTGAGCAACGGGCTCGTTTCAGAGGCCTGTCCCAGGGACTGCAGTGCTCATCGTGGTGGGGAGCTTGCAGGGAAGTCCTGGAGAGGATGTCCAAGAAGGAACCAGGTCACGGGGTTCGTCCCTGGGGATCTGAGCTCTCCCGCTCCCGGATGCAGGGAGTGGATGATCAGCAAGGGAAGGACAGGAGCTCTGCAGGGCGTGGGAGCTGGTTGAGGCATGTCCTGGCGGCTGAGTCAGCAGTCCTGCCCTCCTCACCCTCCCTTGCAGTGCGGCGGTGGGAACACTGCGTCTGCTCACTGGTGATTCCCCCCTTGAGGCACGGCAAAGCCAGAGACCAGCCCCACTTTAACCCCAGCTTTACTCTTCCTGGCAGCTGTGCAGTTCACGGGAGACTGGGAGACCGGCTGGGTGAGGGCAAACACCTCCTACAAGTCCTTCAGCCCAGCGCTGGTGAGCGCGGACATTGGGCTGCACATTGGCCTGGTGGGGGTGAACATCTCGCTCAGGGGTGAGTCTGATGTCCCCATCTGCAGCTCTGATGGCCCCAGGAGGTCTGGGCACCCTTGGTCTGCACAGAGGCTTCTTGAGTCCTGCTGTCCCTGAGGTGCCCATGCTCCTGACTGGCAGCACCCTGGATGCTGGGACACAGCAGGACCTTGCTCTTCTCCCTCCATCAGGAAACCCAGTGAATCAGGTCAATGAGACCATCAACTACAATGAGCACTTCCCCTGGAGCGTCAATGCAGACTATGACCAGAGCTACAGCCAGGGACTGGAGCGGGGGCTGCCCAGGCCCATCCTCTACGTGGCAGAGAAGTTCACTACGCGAAGCCCCTGCAGCATGCAGAGGCGGTACCGCATCTCCAGCCACTATGCATCGGCCACTCTCTGGTGAGCCTTTCTCTCCTGGAGCAGGCAGGGGGGATGCAAGGATGTGGGAAGGGCTTTGCTGCCTTTTCCCTAGGCCTCTGAGATGGATAGTGATTTCACACTGCCAAGAGGAATGCTATGTGCAGGGAGGGACCTCTGCAAGGTCTGCTGTCAAACCAGTGACACTGTGGGCAGGTAGGAGGTCCTGGTTCTCTCTGCTGATCAGCTCCATGACAGCTGGGCACAGAAGAGAGGAATGTGGTGTAGATCCTTGCCATGATGCAGTGATGACATTAGGGGTCCATCCCCATGGAGGCAATCGGAGCTGCTGTCCTTAGTGGCCATGGGGTCATGGGTATGAGCAGAACTCTCTCATTCCCATCTGTGAAGGTATGTGATGTCTGGGAGTGGGACCAATGACGAACAGCTGATAATGCTGTTATTTTGTGGCCAATCTCAACTCTTCAGCAGGATCTGCTGAGCAGCAACATGATTCTGCTCACTTGGGCTGAGGGAGAGCTGGTCCACAGGACTAGGAGATGGTCCCCTCTACCATGGGTAGTGGAGGGCAAGGGCCATTGCAGTGCTGTTCCCCCTGCTCTGGGTCTGACAACAGGGATGAGGAAGCTAGGAAAGGGAGCAAGAGCTCCTCCCCTGTCACCCAGCCCTTCAGCCAAGTCCAGAGCTGCTGAAAATGACTTGTGCCTGCTTCTGCAATCATCCCAGTCTGCTGAGCTACTCTCTATGGTCTGCAGTGCCCCACACGTGGAAGGACAGGGAGCTGAGATGGTCTAGATACACTCAGTGGGTTGCTGCAGCCTCTCTGGGGCTGGCATGGTCTCTGGGATGAGCAATGGGAAGAAATCCTTGCTTCTGACTGCTGGATGTAGCAGCATGAGCATTGCACATCTGCTTGTTCAGCCTGAGAGGCTCAAGATCACTGCAGCGTGCCACTGAGCTTCTGAGCCTCATACAGTGCAACCAGGAGCCCAGATTCCTCCTTCTGCATGGAAATCTTCACACAGAGCATCCTAGTGAGTGGCACTTGCACAACTAATGCACTGGTCTTCTCTTGTCTCCAGGGTGGCCTTTTGCACTTGGCTCATCTCCAACATGCTCTTCTCTATGCCTGTCCTAGTCTATGGAGGCTACATGCTCCTCCTCACAGGGGCCTTCATGATCCTTTCGCTGCTGTCATTCTCCACTGTGAGAAACTCCCCGATGTGCCTAATCCAGTTTGGAACTGCAACCCTGCACACAGGCTATGGAGGATCCTTCTGGATCACGCTGGCGATTGGTAAGGACAGCAAGCTACGTCAGGGCACAGCACCTTGTCTCTCTGGGTGTGCCAGAGTCCCAGTGCTTTCACTCCAGTAGGGGAGGTGAGCAAGTCTGGGGATTGCAGCCCACCAGAGACCCAGCCTGGGCCTTGGCAAAACAGATCCTGGCAGAGATGTGGACAGGGCTGGCAGCTGGGGAACACCATCCCCATCGCAAGGGTGATGAAGGGAGTTTTAGTCCCTGAGGTGCAGTAAAAAAAAGATGGGCATCACTTGCTTGGGTTTTAAGACCCATACCTGGGTTTTAAGATGCCCAGCATAACAGTGGAAGCTACCTCATGAAGTAGAAGGCCATCTTCCATAAGCGAAGGTGTTGTCCCCTGGCAGGGGACCATCAAAGGAGGGCTACAGTGGGGAAGTGTGCTGGGGTTGACAGGGATGTTCTTAGAGAGCGTGTCTTCCAGGCTTGCTCTGTTTCATGGCTGGGATCAGTGTTGTCACACTGCACTACTGCAACTTGGACCTCCTGAAAACTTTCTTTGATCTCCGTGAGGACAAAGCAGAAGAGTTCCAGGGGTGACTGAAGCGTACACCAACTTTCATCTTGCGAACAGGGCACTATCTCCTTCTCAGCCCTCCAAACTCAACCCCAATATCATTTAGAAGAAAGTTTTTTCACTCATTCCCTGAAGTGGGCCTGAAAGGGCAGAGCACAAACACTTCTTGATGTCCCCAGAGACCCATTTTTCCATCCAACTGCCTTTGAAGACTGCACGGATCCGTGTTGGGATGGGTACTTGCTAAGAAGTGCCTTTGCAGACTGTGACTCCCTGACCATGCCCTCTGGAAAGGGCAGTCTTTGCAGGGAGCCAGCAGGCTGCCATCGGAGCAGCTCCCAGCTCTGGTGGGTCGAGCTGCACACTCATCTGGGGATCTCTGTTCTAACAGAAATGCCCTTCCTGGTCCATCCCTGGCACAGCTTTGTGCAGTGATTCTCTGATGGCCAGTTCTCACCCCAGAAACTGAGCTCACTGGTGCTTACGGGGAGCACCTGCAATTCAAAAAGCTGGTGATTAAATCCAGTGTAGACCTTCAGGCCTTCCTAGAAGGGCCAGGCAGAGACCCAAAGGCCATAAGGCTGGATGCTGCATGAGCTAGAGTAAAACAAACGCTGCAGAAGACTGAGTGAACATGCCATGGAGCTTGCCAGTGAGGAATGTGGTGATGTGGCTGTTTTCACTTTCCAACTTGGGTTTTCTTAGGTAACACTTGTAGTCTAGTGTGGGCCAAAAAAATGTGACAGGAAAGGAAGGAGACGGAAGAATGACACTGCCCCTCTCCAACGGGAGCACACTTGAGCTGGCTGGGCTCTTCATAAAATGTAAGACAAGGCCAGGAGTCAAACCCAACCAAGGGGAGAAATGAAGTGCATCAAGATGCTTTATTACAAACAGAAGATGGGGTCCTAACCCACCAGCCTGATGAAGTCTCCATGGCTGGCACAAAGAGATCTCCACATCTAAATGCTGGAGACCTGGGCCACTTCAGTCCAATTAATTGTAAAGGACCTAATTGCAGTATTTTGGCTCTTTTCTTTCTGAGAAAAGCTAAGTTACTGATTTCTTTCATGTGCTATTTGTGTTGCACTAATGTGATTTCTTATGGGCATCAGTTATTTTTAATAAAACTTTGTTAAAAACCCACTCCTTTGAAATACTTTGGGCATTCCAGGGGGTGGTTTCTCAAGTGGGGTTGTGAGGCTTGGCTCATGCTAAGTCCCCCACAGACACAACCTTCCCATGGGGGAAGCTGCCCTGGCAGAGGTATCCCCAAAGAAGCACAAGGGTCTTTGAAACCCTTAAGGTGAAACCCTTGTATTGGAGAGCAGTGCATTGTAGAATGTAGGAGTTTTGAAAGGACTTTAACTAGCCTAGTGGTAGGACAGAAGCTGCAAGATTAAACCAACAAAACTCCCTCAGGAAAAGGAGGATCCTTCCTCAAGTCTTTCTTGCTTCCAAATGCAAGCCATGTACAGAGGCATTGTGGGAAGATGCTACAAGCAACCACAAGTTATTGGGGCTGGTGTGGGACAGATCCTGTCCCCTGAGAGCACAGGAGGCTGGGGGGCCCACTCTTTCTGCCACTGCATCTGGGACTCTCCAACCTCACCTCCTGCCTTTAGGGATGATTCCCCCCAATAGCATCCTCACTGGAGGAAAAGCTTTGTCCTGTTGCATCAGCCATACAGGGCCCTGAATCCAAATCAACAGAACAAACAACATTCAATCTGTTTGAAGCACAGAGACATCAGACTTCTGTGTGCCTTGCCCACTTCCTAGCAAACACAGGACAGCTGGGATTTCTGCAGCATGGCTTGCATGGGGCCAACTGAGCAGAGGCAATGACATGAGGGGGGATGCAGAGACCCCTTCACACATTGTGTCTTGTGAAGAACAGGGTATCACAGAATCACAGAATCCCAGGGTCGTTTGGGTTGGAAGGGACCTTAAAGCTCGCCCAGTTTGAACCCCCTGCCATGGACAGGGACACCTTCCACTAGAGCAACTTGCTCCAAGCCCCATCCAGCCTGCCTTTGAACACTGCCAGGCCAACAGGGGCTGGCTGTGTCATGGGGCTGGAACCTGCAAGTTGAAGACTTCCTTTGTTGCCACCACAGGGAGGAGCACACATGAGGGCCATTGCTCAGGAGTGATTATGTTCCTCACTACATGTTGTCATAGTAGCTTCTTCACATGCACCATAAGAGCTGTGGCTGTACAGCCCCTGTGTTATGCTGCCGCAGGTCCTACCTCCTCTGTCCACCTCAGCTCCAGGCTCCGTTTCCTGGCTGGACTGAGCTTTTCCTAGATAACAAGATGTAAAATACTTGACATTAAATCCCTGGCTCTTGGCCCAGGCTGCTTCTGGCCGCACAGGATCCAAGGAATCTGGGGTCCAACCAGGGAGTCAGTGCCAGCAGTGGAGCAAACTCAGAACTTACAGCCTGGAGCTCTGCAAGGATGGCGGTCCCCACTCCTGGAGGTACTCATTGCACCAGGGCATGCAGAGCTGCCAGCTCCCCTGCTCCAGGCTTCGATGCCAGGGGAACATGCCAGGAAAGGCAGAAGTTTATGAGGGCTGAATTTCAGTTCAGTAAAGTGTTCAAGGCAATTCAGGCAGTGTTCAAGGCCAGGCTGGACAGAGCCTTGGGTGACATGGTCTAGCGTGAGGTGGCCCTGTCCATGGCAGGGAGTTGGAGCTCAATGATATTAAGGTCCTTTCCAACCCAAACCATTCTATGATTCTATGAAATAAAAGGGATTTGTTGCACTTTGATCTAGTCCATCTGTAGGCTGAAGCATCACCTCATAGATGCCATTGTTGTTCAGCTCCAACCTATTCTTAAATGCTTGTTGAGTCCTGTAGGTCCTCTAGGTTGAATGCTCTTCCATCCAGAGTGGGAAGGGGCAGGATGCCATATCTGAGCACACCATGCCTCACTGTGGTCCCTCTGCAAACTTCTCTGCTTAGCTGGGTATTGCTCCCATCAAGCCTTCCGCTTGCCAGGGTCACTCCAGGAGCTGAAGCCTTCCTATATAGCCCCTGTTTGTTTTCCTGGAGGTGCTCTGTTACCCTATTTACTGTGTGTTGACTTGCCTGTATTGCACTGTGCCTACTAGCCATGGTCAGATGCCCCATATGGGACCAAAACTGGCCTCTGCATTTGCCTTGGCCTTCTTTCTTTCCCTATGGCTGCCATGTCACAGTAAGAGAGCATCCCCAGCCAGCCACCCCTCAGAGGGACACCTCTATCAACAGACAAGAGAAAGACTAGGTTCAATTTATTTTATTGAGATAGAAGGGAAAATAAGTGAGCAAAAACCAAACAAACAAAACTGTAGCAAAACCTGCACAGAGCTAAAGGGGAGCAAACCTGAAACATTCTTCCTCCCCTCCCTCCCAGGCTGGGTGTGATGCTCACCTCTTGTTAAGTGATTACAGCCACTCCTGGGGCACCGCAGCACTTCCATTCCCATCTCCTCCTCTCCTTCCCTCCCACCGAAACATCTTTTCCTCTGATCATAGGGTTATGAAAGCACCAACAACTCCCAGGCTGCTCACAGGCTGGTGGCTGTGGTTTAGGGTGTTTATAAGCACTGTAAGAAACAGGAGCCAACCAATCAACTCCGTGACTGTGCCATTTCCAGCCCAGTGTACAGCCCAGCACATCTTGGACTTGCATCGAACTTGAGCTGTGGGGTGTCAGTATGGGACTGAAATTCAGGAGTCCTCCAAGGTCTGGTGCCTCCAGTATTGTACGAAATCGTGGGCCTCCTTGCCAAACTGCTCTCCAGTCAAGACCAGGTACAGGGCACCCTGGTGAGCACAGCTCCCCTCAGTCTTCCTGACCACTGCTGGAAAGACCATCCCTGAGCAGAGGGGACTTCTTGGGGACTCATATCTATTCATCTGCAGCTACTTGGTTTCTCCTGTTTGCTCTAGTTTAGTGTCTGCTTTAGGACTCTTCAGGTTTGTTGGGGTTGGACTAAGGGGAATTGCAGTAGCCCAGTGCCTGTGACTGGACAATCAGGGATGGGGCTGGATTGTCTCTACCCCAAAACCTCTTCCAGCTGCTGGTGAGTAAAACAAAAAAACATTAAAAAAATAAAAATAAAAAAAAAAAAAAGAGAGGGCAAGTTGCCATATTTGAGACCGTTTTCCGGGCTTGGATGTTCTTGTCAACCAGCTCTTATGTGTCTTCCCACCCGTGCTCCTGGTGTAGTTGGATAGGAGCGTGGATTCAGAAGGGATGTCCTCGGGCTTTGCCCTTACTGCTGGGTGGCTGTCACCTCACAAAGCTCACTCAGGGGCACCATCAGCATGTCCTGCGCAGAGGAACTGGGCTCGGCAGGCAGGTAGGGCTTGTCCCACCCCTCCTCTTCTTCTCCCTTTCTCTCGTCCAGGTTAAAGACAAGCTTCAGTTTCTCTGGCTGCACAGAGTTGAAGATGATGACACCCAGCCCCAGCAGCAGGCACAGCAGCCCTGCAATGCACAGCATGGGGAGACATGTTAGCACCTCTGCCCTGCTGTGTCCCAGCCCCACCCAGATCCAGATCTGGGGTTGGAGGCCAGTGGCACATAGCATCAGCCAGGAGACCAAGGGAAGATGTTGCTTTCATCTCCACATATGGACTCTGCCATCAGTCTGGGCACCCCAGCACAAAAGAGAATCATAGAATAGAATGATAGAATCAACTAGGTTGGAAAAAACCTCTAAGATCATCAAGTCCAACCATTACCCCAGCACTGCCAAGACCACCACTAACCCAGGTCTCTGAAGAAATTATCCCTATTAACAGATGGAGAAACTAAAGGCAAAGAGAATTACCAAACATGATTCCTCTACAAAATGACCTCAGAATAGTCTGGCCCTACTTAAGTACTAATCAATGCATAGACCTGATTCTCATGTGTTCTAGTGATTGGTTTTACACAGCTACCAGATAACTTGGAAGTTACTTCGACAATGTTCCTTCTTTATCTGAAAGGGCTGAGATTATAACAGACATTTCAGTGTCTGCCAGACTGTACTGCTCTGCTCCCTCTGGCATTTCCATGGATTTTCTGGTTCGATATATGATACTAGACAATATAATTATTTTCTTTACAATTCCTTGAAGAGTCATTTCCTTATCTAGCTCTATTGTTTCTCTATCATTTATTCGTTGGATGCAGCCTATCTGGCTTCTAAACTTCACAAACTTTCTCAATTTCTATTTCAGTACTTCTAGCAGAAGACTCAGTAAGTATCTCATGATTAGGGTCTGATATAAAGTTCCAAGTGCTTCTGATGGGATCTAAATGTTACGCCTTCATGAGAGGTACCAAAAAAGTCAATGAACTTGGCAAATGGCTGAGAGAGTTGGGTCTGGAGCCCACCAGCTATGGCGAAAGGCTTGAGGAGCTGGATTTGTTTAGCCTGAAAAAGAGGAGCCTTGAAGGGGACGTAACCGCCACCTTCTGCTACTGACAAAGAGCCACTCTCCTTCTCGGAGGTGCACAGTTGTAACACAGGGAATTCCACTTTGAGAAAAGGAAACAATTGCTGCCCATGAGCGGGACCAGGTGGGGCAGGTCCTGAGAGGCAGAGGGGGTCTCTAGGCATGTGGACAAACACCATCAGACTGAACAAGGCTGATAGGGCTTTATGGTTAGCCCTGCTCTGGACAGGGATTGGGAGAGAGACCCTCAAGGGTCCTTCCAGGCCAGGTTTTTCCCTGACTCTGAGTTCTGACTTCGATAGCACTCCACTGGGCACACCTTCATGCAGATAGCTTTGGCCATTGGGGTGTCATGGCTGCTCAGCTCTTTTTCTCCCAGTCTTGATGATGCTATCCTGAATTCATGTATTTCATTGGGAAAAAAAAATCAAAATCAAAACAAAATAAAACATGATTTTCTTCAAGCAGCCATGGAAACAGAAGGGATGAGGTGCTGCTGAAGCATCACTGAGCATCACTGCTGCAGGGATGGAGAATGACAACCCCAGGAACAAGCTGAGCACTCACCCGTCGCTAATGTCAGCCAAAAGGATCCTCCATAGTCTGTTTTCAAGGCAGCTGTGCCAAACCGGATGGGGCACTTAGCGGTGCTCCGTGCAGTGAAGAAGAAGAGCAATGAGAAGAGCATCAGTGCGGCAGTGAGTAGAAGCATGTAGCCACCATAGAGCAGGATGGGCATGGAGAACAACAGGATGGAAACGAGCCATGTGCAAAAGGCCATCCTGAAAAAGGACCACAAAACCGAGCAGAAGGTGTCATGCTTGGAGCCTCTTCTGAGGGTCTCCTCTCCACATCCTAATGGAAAGATACTGCCCTAGGAAACCTGCTCTGGCTGGTCCTGCTTGAGCAGGTAGGCTGGACGGACTGATCTAAGGAGGTCCCTTCCAACCCAAACAATTCCATAATTGCATGCATGGTGGAGATGCAGGACAGGTCCCACAGTGCTCAAGAAGGTTCTCCATGCCTGGGGACATCCAGTATTGAAGTTCACGAAGCCCCAAGCACCTTGATATGGCTTTGACATGAGCCCTGTTTTGGGTAGGGGGCTGAAGACCTCTAGAGGTCGTTCTTTCTCATTCTCTGACTCTTGTGGTCAACTTGGCAGTTCTCACCTACCCAAAGGGAGAACAGCAACAAGGGAGGCCTTTGTTTGGAGAACCACACAAGGAGCCATGCCCACATCTGATTCAGCACTTGGAGGGAGCCCAGCTGCCAGCCCTGCCCTGTGCATGGGGTTTGGCTTTAGCTCACTGGGGAGGTGACCCTAACAAATTGTTCTGATTCCAAGAATAATAATGAAAAATAAGTTTACATCAACATCCCTGCCTTGAAATGCTCCTTCTCAATGGCAGGAAGGTTTGGGCAGGGCTAGTTGTTTTTCTTGGAAGTAAAAAAGGAGATGTGGCAGGGACCTGGGGCCTATGTCTAGAGGGAGAATCGTAGGACACACTCTCGCCTGCAGTGCCTTTCCCACGACCTCTGAGACACATGTAGATGCTCTGAGACTCCGTGATGAGAGCACACACAAGAGCTCTCAGCTCAATGCCACAAGAAAGCCTCTGAGCACACTCGTGATGGTCTTATGCCATCTTTGGGATGTAAGAGGAAATCCCCTCAACCCCAGCACATCTTACTAGGGTTTTGCATCTTCCTTAGGAGAAGACTTTGCACCCTACACAACTGCATCTGCTTTCCTTCAAATGAGGAATAGTTCTTTTCCAACAGCAATTTTGCACATCAGGCCAGAGAACACAGAAGAGGACTCTGGGGAGACAGGCAGTGCAGGAAGCATCCCTCATTCTGCAAAACGGTGGGTGACAGAGACCAGCCAAGGCTTTGACATGGCTTTACAGGGAAGAGAGTGGCTCTATCAAGCTCCCTGTGCTCTACCTGGTTCTTTCCACCTCCCCAGTGAGCAGATATAGGGCTGACCTCTTGCTCTGAATTACCACAGTGTGAGGGAGGCGTAGCGGCTGGAGATGCGGTACTGCCTGTGCACGCCACAGGGGCTTTGGGAGGTGAACTTCTCCGCCACGTAGAGGATGGGACTGGGGAGCCCCTTCTCCAGGCCTTCATCATAGCTGTGATCATAGTCCGCATCGAAGCTCCAGGCAAAGTGCTCATTGTAGCTGATGGTCTCATTGAGCTGACGCACTGGGTTTCCTGCCAGATAATGAAGACTAAGGACCTTTCTCAGCCTTGGGGGCAGCTCCAAGACTTCCTGGTGTGGGACCTCAAGGGCCCACAGCCCCGTTACCCAGGTGCATGGCTGCTGGACTTGCACCCAATCCTCTCCTGGTGTGAAATGCACTCACCCACTAGTGTGACATTCACCCCCGCCAGGCCAATGTGCAGCCCAATGTCCACGTTTACCAGGGCACGGCTGAAGGACTTGTAGGAGGTGTTTGCTGTCACCCAGCCAGTCTCCCAGTCCCTGGTGAACTGTATGGCTGTGAAGAGTTAGTTATAGTAAGTTAATTAGTTATAGTCTGGTGGTGAGACACCTAGTGCTAGAAGCACCTGCCATGATGGCCACAGTAGCCTGAACATCATCTAACCCATCCCAAGGAACAGGCCTGGGCTATAAGCCCCAAGGAGCCTTATATGTCCTTCCCCAATATCAACCCAGATCCATGGCCCTGGTATCCCTGCTTAGGTTGGTTTCTCCCCAGACCCAGTGCAGTCTGCAGTCCTAGAGGCAATAGGGCTGATGTGTGGGCACTGGCTAGGAACTGGTCTTCATGAAAGCACCTCCCAGTTTGTCTGGCTCTTGGCAGCTGGTGGTGGGCTTTCAGTGACTGCGCAGGAGGTGGTCTATGCATACTGCAAGCCTTCAGAGATGAGACAGACGCAGCTCCCACAATTTGCTGGAGCCAGGTCCCAGGCACATATGGGCGTCTGTCTTCCCCATAAACTCATCCTGTGGGCTGGAGCTGGTGCTTGGCTGCTCTGTTCACCCTCCCTTGCCTTGCTTCTCATCCCATGTCTTGGGCATCCCTGAGCTTCCCCGCGCAGGACTCTGGTACTCACTGAGGACCACCGCTCCCACGAAGAGACCCATCACCACTCGCAGGAACCAGAAGAGTCGCTGCAAGGGGTGAACAGGGAGGGGGACAGGTCTCAGTCAGATTGTGCCACGGGGACCGGAGCACCAAGTGTGCCATTTAGGAATGTCAGACAGTGAGAAACAGGCTTGCCCCTCCCCTCGGGAGTCGCCTCCCAGGCTCTGCAAGCGGGTGGTGTCAGGGACACACGGGGCTGGAGGATCCCTGTCTTTGGGTACGGGAGGCAGCTGGGAGATCCCGGCAGAGAAAGAAGGTCAAAACTAGCCCATTTGGGAAGTCATTCTGTCCCCTTTACAGCGAAGGAGGATGGAGACACTCCCGTTAATAGTGCTGAGCTGGGATTTCCACATTTCCCCAAACCTCATGTGTTTAGGTGTGCTGGCAGCTGGCCACATCTGGAGACAAAAGCAGTTGCTGTGGGTTCTCAGTGTGTTCCCTGGGGGAAGCCATCTCTTGGCCAGCCTCACTGCAGGGCCAAGCATGTGACAAGCATGTAGGGTGTTGGCCTGTTGGCCACACAGAGCCCCATGATCAGTGCTGGGGCACACACAGTGCATTTTTCCTTCTTCTACTCAGGTTTTGGGGAAAATGGAGCAAAGTCTTTGAGCCTCACCCTATTTATCCACTTCTGTGAAGTCACCCAGGCTTGCTCACAGAGAAATCCAGACAAGTGCAGATCTGGGTGCCTTGTAAATGTTGGGTGGATTTTAGTGGCTCCAGTATGGGGGTACATGCTGGGTTGGGGTGGGCTGGAGCTCACCCCCATGGCTTGCTAGAGTTCCCAAAGGCCTGGCCATGAACCTGTGGGCATGTTTGCTCCCCGAGTCTGTTTTCGAGTCTGGGAAGGAGGAAGCATCTGGGATGCGCAGGGTAGGGACCACATGGCTGAGCTCCCCCTGCCCTTCCACTTACCCCCCTGCCCCGGATCCCTGGCAGGATGATGATGAAAGTGGCCAACATGGAGAGGAAGATGGAGACAATGACAGCCCAGGTGGTGTCAAAGGGGAAGCACGGATTGGCACCGGGGTAGAAGGGGAAGGAGCCATTCCATAGCGTCATCCTCCTGCCTGTGCGGGCTGGAAATAGACACCCAGAGGGACATCGGGGAGAAAATTACCTCCTCACATCCACCCTACCCAGCTTTCTCCACAGACCCATCTGCTGCCCACTTGCCAGCATGTGCATCCCCAGTGCCTGTTCACATTGCAGTCCTGCATCTGGGCATTCACTCAGGCATCTCCCACAGGAGCCCTCCGTCTCCCCGGGGCTGGGATGGGGAGTACATCCCAGAGCAAAACAGGTTTGAAGCCGCTGGGACACGTGCTGCAACGCTCAGATTGTCCCCGTGATGGGACAAGAATATGGGCACACATTGCTGGGCCTCTCGTCCCCCTCCTCTGCTTGTTCTCCACCCTGGTCTCTTGCCTGTGCCTCCACCCTCCCCGGTTCAGCTCTTTGTCAAGCAATCTGGCTCCTGCTTGTGGGTGTTGTGCTCAGGGCGCTTGGTGAATCACCATGAAAACACAGGCTGCACCCCATCGGGTGCTCCTCACTGAGCCCTGGCTGGAGGTAACTCCTCACCGTCCAAAGGAACAGGAATAACCCAGAGGGGACAGAGAAACTGCCTGTCTCTGGCATCAGGGTGCCAACCCTCTGTCCCAGGAGCTGGCTTGAGGCAGTGCTGTGCCATGGCGGGCAGAGGAATGCTGCTCAGGAAGCCAGCCCTGGGTTTTTGCCATGGCACTTGGCCAACGTCTCTTCCTTGTTCTTCCTTGCTTCCCTGCTAGGAAAGGGCTGCTCACCATCCCCCAGGGAATGGGGACCCTCCAGCAGCAGCTTCGGAAACACCCGGTTCCCTTCCCAGCTTTGATCCTACCTGTGCTGCTCCGATCCTGAGGGCTGGCTGCCGTGTGGAGCCGCAGCGTGCTCCGGGATGCTACTTGCTCGCTTGCGCTGCTCCCAGGGCTGTGGGCAAGAAGCCAGACCAGTGTGTCACAGCAGTGTTTCTCCCAGTGTTTTAAGGTGCCCGCCTCCAGAGGTGGCTGCATCCAGCTTTACCCACAGCTGACCGGCCCCTGGTGCCTTTGCTGAGCCCCAGGGCAGGCAGGGAGCTGCAGCTGGCTCCACACTGTGCAGCGTGGCTGAGGTGAGGGATCCCAGGCAGGGTTTGCCTTCTGGTTTTTAGCGTGACTGTTGGAGGAGCGACACGAATCAAGAAGACAATCCCAATATGAGTTACGCTTCTTGTTCGATTTATTGCACAGGCTCACCTAATTTATACCATTGGTGATAGTTTATGTGACAGCTGTACATCTTTCATTGGCTACATAAACCTGTTCACGCGCCTGTCTATACATTGCTATTGGCTAAGCTAAGTTTTACACACATATCTCTGCAACAGCAGGGTGCGTGCCTTGTGATAAGCGGTGCATTCCTTGTGGCCAGCAAGCTCCTGTTTCAGCGTTCTGCTTACTTTTCTTCGACCCCAGGCCTCCCCGGCTCAGCTGAGACAGAGAGAGTTCAAGGCTGTCTCACTCAGCTCTAATCCTGGGTTGTGCAGGCCCTCGTGAGAATAACCACTGCTCCACACGTGACCAGCATGCAGAGGGAGGTGACTGCTCTGCAATCCTTGAGACCCCTCTTACAGCACTGTGTGCAGTTCTGGTGTCCTCAACATAAGAAGGACATGGAGCTGTTGGTGCAAGTCCAGAGGAGGCCATGAGGATGCTCAGGGGACTGGAGCACCTCCTGTATGGAGACAGGCTGAGAATATTGGGGCTGTTCAGCCTGGAGAAGAGAAGCTGCGTAGAGACCTCAGAGCAGCTTCCAGTGTCTGAAGGATGCTGGAGAGGGGCTCTTCATCAGGGGCAGGACAAGGGGTGATGGGTTCAAACTGAAACAGGGGAAGTTCAGGTTAGATCTAAGGCAGAAGCTCTTCCCTGTGAGGGTGCTGAGGAGCTGGCACAGGGTGCCCAGAGAAGTGGTAAATGCTCCATCCCTGGCAGGGTTCAAGGCCTGGTTGGACAGAGCATTGGGTGACCTTGTCTAGTGGAAGGTGTCCCTACCCATGAGCATGGGGTTGGAAATGGATGATCTTAAGGTCCCTTCTAACCCAAATCATTCCACGATTCTATGATTCTTTTCCTCAGTTTTTCCTGCAGAGTGGTGAAAAGTCCAGCCGTTCCTTATGACATGAAGACTGTGGTGCTACCAGGAGCTTCAAAGCCCTCGCCTACACTGCCCAGTGGAGTGTTCCCGCTGAGGTCATCTAGCTGGTTGTGGCTGCTCAGTCACTTCATTGACCCTGCTCCTGACTCCATCCCCCAGGTATATTCCCTGGGAAGGTCCTGGCTGACCTGCCAGTCACTGGAGAAGGCTGGCCAAGGGGACCAGCAGAGAGGCACAGATCTAGAGGGGATCCCAGTGTGATTCAGGTAGTCAAAGTGCCCTGTTACGCAGAAGATGCCCAAGTTACTCACTTGGCCATGGTGGGGAGATCATGAAGATTCAAGCTTTTTGGGCTTGCTCTCATTCTTTGGCATTCCGGTTGGCTGCAGCAGGTTGCATTGATGCCAAGAGATCCCAGGTCAGCAGAAACACTCTCCTGACCCACATCTGGGGCTTTCCTCCAAAGCTGGCACAGCTACTGCAGTCCCCTAGGTACTTCTTTCTGCATCCCAGCAGCAGGCCTGGCCAGGTGCCCTGGAAAGCTGTGCTTGGCAGGGGGAGGTTAACCTAAGTTTTAATTCATGTGAAACAGGAAATAAAGGCATTTCTGGGCAAAGACTTTGCTATTTCCTCTCAAGTCCCAGGCTAGTGCTACCCAGTCTGAACACTGAATGCTCCTGGGGCTGGGAAAAGTGTGGGCAGAGCTGTGCTGCAGAGGTGTCTGCTGATGCAGGTAATGCTGACGATGTGGCATCAGCTCTGGAAGTATCTGCAAAGCAGAGGAAGATCTGGACTTCACAGCAAATGGCACAGATCCTTGGGGGCAACTAAGTGGAAAAGTGGTGCTTTGGACCTCTTGGAAAGAGAAATACCAGCAGGGGTCAGGGATAACTGAGGAGGTGCCTGATAATTGGTGGGATGAGATTAATTACTGAGATCCTCATCCCACATATCATGTGGGGTGGTGTGCGGGACGAGAAGTGGTCTGGCCGGGGACTAGGCCAGCATTCCTTGCACTCCCTGGATCTGGGAGAGGCAGCAGGGCTCTGCACTGGCTTGGCCAAACCAGTGTATGGGGTTTTCCTGGGGAAGGGGTTGAGGCCCTGTGAGGTTTGTGCTGTTCAGACAAGCATCACAGATGTGTCTTTCGGGTAGATGCCCTATTGGCAAAAATGAAAGTGTGCAGGGGGGAAGTTTCCCTCCTTCTCTAAAGGATGTATCCCACAACACAACATCTTTAGGCAAGGACACTGGGGGAGCCCATGGACTGCTCTGGCTCTCTCATCTGTCCCCAGCAGTGATGGAAACAGTGTGTGACAGGGGTGGTGGGATCCTCCACTTCCCTGGGGTGCTGATGGGGTTGTGAGCTGGTAAGCGTGGGAAAATTTCTGGATTTACCCCTCATTAAGCACTCTGAATCCATGAAGAGGTTCTACAGAAAGCCTGAGGTCATGATGGTAACAGGGGTTTTATCAGGCAGCTTCTGCCTCACTCGCTTGTGAGGGATGGATGGGGCGATAAGGGATAAGTCACCCAATCCAGGTCATCTGAGGGAGGTGGGGACAAGGGGAGCAGCACCCATCACCTCTTGCACAAGCAACCATGCAGTGTTGGATCAGCCACCATCACTCATGGTGCCAGGAACCAAGGCGGGGAAGGCACGGGGACATGCCTGGGCAAGGAGACAATTTGGGGGATGGAGCAGGAGCCCCAAGAAGCCACCCTTTGATCAGAGGATTTCTGCCTGACCCATCGGTGCCAGTGGGACAGACATGGTGTGTGTGTCCATGGACAGCCCCATTGGCTGTCCTTATCACACTTCTAGCCTGGTCCCTGATGTGGTGGATGCTGCTGCTGAATCACGATGAGGCTCTGCTTGATGAAGGCCATCCAATGTCCCATCCAGACACTTGGATGCATGTCCTTGCCTGGAATTCTTCGCAACAGCTGAATGACCAGTAATGAAACACCTTGAAGGGAGGAACAGGAGGAAAGATGGAGGAGTAGAGAAGTTCACAGTGCTGTGTCTATGACTTGGCCCTAGATATATTTGCAAGAAGGATGTATTTTTCCATCTCTACTTGGAAGTTACTTAAAGACTCTGAGAGAAGGGGAAGATGTTGCTGCCCACTACATTACTCAGTGAGCTGGCTTTCATATCTCATCATGGAGGAAGTTCAAGGTCAACAGAGAAGGCTGCCAGGACATGGATGCAGAGCTCAGCAGGAGCCACCCGTCATCCTAGCAGGAATTGGAACAGCAGAGGCTTCAGCAACACTTTGAGGAAATCCTCATCCAGAAGTTGTGCTGTGTGATCAGACCTCTGCCCCTTCCAACAGGCATCATGTAGGAGAGAAACAAGTCTCCTATGGCCTGGACCTTCAGAGGCACATGCCAGGAAGATCATCTTACTTGGAACTGCTTGATCATCTTTGCTCCCTGCCCTAAGCAGCTTTCAGCTACCGCCAGTGCTGTTGCAGCTTTCTACATGCTGTCAGAAATCCAGAGGACAGAAACCCAGCTGCTCCATTGCCCTTCTGAATATCTCCATCCTGCCCAGAGACCCCATGGGCACCAGTGGGGGTTAAACACCTGCCTGTGACAGCCAAAGAGACCCCCTGATGTGGGGCTCGGGCTGGTCCCTGTTCCTTTCCAAGTGTCATACCCTTGCTGGGATTGCCCAATCTGGTTGAGGGGCAGCAGGTCCATCACTTTTCTCTTGTTTCACAGACCCCATGTGCCCAGCCCCTTCCAGCCTGCCCTGATCCCAGCACTGCAGCTCTGCAACAGCTGCTAGAGCAGAGGGATATAGGGAGGAGCATGAGCAAGGGCCCTGATACTCTGGGAGAATGCAGGAGAGGGGGAGGGCATCACTGCCTATCTTGCATCTATGTTAGAGATGTTGCCTCTCCACTAAAGAGCAAATGAGGTTGTCAGCTCCAAGACTGGCTCCCAACCTCAACTGAGGGTCCCACTTCTGTGACAGAGCTCCACTGCCCTGGCATGAGTGCTGGGCCATGTCTCATGAGGGATTTTGCCACTCCAGCCTGGGGAACCTGTCCGCACAGATAACAGCCATTCTTGCCACTTTGACGTAACTACCAGCGAGTTGAACTTTTCCAGGCTTTGCCAGGGCTTGTTGATGATGCACTGCTTGGTCCCAGGCTGCAAGAGAAGCTTTCCCTTGTAATCCCTGTTGTTACAGGCCTAATTAAAATGGTACACATATTTCCATGGAACTCCTTTATCCAGTGTCTCCCTGCCAGCCTTGGAATCAATGCACAAAGCAACGCTACTCCACCTTGGACTGCAATGCAGTGTGTGAGCACACACAGGCACATTGCACCCTGTATCCTGGCTGTGGGGAGAAGATCATTTGATCTGTTTTTTCCATCCAGGCAAAAGTGCCAAAAGCAGGTGGTGCAGTAAGGAATAATGCATGGGTCTGAAAACCAGTGGAAAGGCTCGAGGGCTGGTCTGCAGTGTGTGGGCAGAGGTATTGTAAGATCATAGAATCATGGAATCAACCAGGTTAGAAAAGCCCTTTAAGCTCATCAAGTTCCACCATTCCCCACCACTGTCCAGGCCACCACTAACCCATGGCACTGAGGCCTCGTCTCCACGCTGTGTGAACACTTGCAGGGACGGTGCCTGCAGCCCTGCCCTGGGCAGCCTGTTCCAATGCCTGAGCACCTCTGGGGCAGGAATTGTTCCTCAGCTCCATCTAAACCTGCCCTGGTGCAGCTTGAGGCCGGTTCCTCTTGTCCCATCCCTTGTTCCTTGGGAGCAGAGGCCAACCCCACCTCACTACAACCTCCTGTCAGGTAGTTTCAGATAAACCACAACCCACCACTTGCTTAATATTAAAATAATAATCC